GAAGTAAGTAATGTCTCAGTGTCATTCTCTTCCGTTGAAAAGTGACGGCTATCTCCTTTATTTCAATGAGAAAATGCCAAAATCAATTCCTCTCTCTTTATACATATGTCTTATGCACTAACCAGAAAGAAAAGCTGTCTGAATGTTTTTTCAATCAATAAAAAAAAAACTAACCATCGGAAAAGAATGACACTGAGACATTACTTAATTCAAAATCACTCTAGGAAACTTCTTCAAATACGCATTTGATTGATAGACTGACAATATAAATATGAATTAGTTATTCGAACTTTTTTTGTTAGACGATATGGATCGCCTGACTTCTTCTTCTCAATGATTAATCTTACTTACAATGGGGAGTGTCACTGGTAAGGATGGATGAGCTGCAATGAAGAATGCATGCCTGCCCGCCCCTGTGCTTAAAACACAACAGTCAAGTCACGACATGATGCCTATTATCGTCCGCTTACCTACCTATGATGTAATAAAGAACATTGATGATTTCCTTCTTATTACTACTACTGTTATCCACATGTATACATGTATTTATATGTGCGCGTGTGTCTTTTTTCCTAAGGGTTGAGAAGAGAAACACTAGAAATTGGGCAATGTCGATTTCTTATTCAGTTGATGATCAAAAGGTGAAGGGACGAAGAAAAGAATTTGTATAATAAGATTTAGTATGTTCGATGAAGGTGATCAAGAACTGTCGCATAGACTTTTCTTTTTATCTGATTTTCATCGACAATGGAATTATACCAAGGACAGTCGAAAGCAAAGAAAAGATGAAATTCATCTCGGATCAAATGATTACACCGCTTACTGGCTCGTCGAGTTTGAGAAAAGTCTTTTATCCAAAGTACAACATGATATGACAGCTGTATCAGCAGTCAACATCAATCAAGATACTATTCGGTCTAATCAGAAATCAAAATGATGTAACAAATCAATTAATCAATACCGTTCCTATGTAGTTGATATTTCTGTCTCCTTGAGAGAACATTGGTCATTATTTTCATATAGACAATTGATTAAGTAGTTCGATGAACTAAATCGTTTTTTCGTCCATGACAGTCAACGATGTCGAAATCAACCCATGTAAATTAAGCAGAACGAGAAATTCTCGTCGTATTGATCTTACCCATCAAATAGCTAATAGTAACGTCTGATGATCCGACAAATGTTTACTTTGTTGTTAGTTTTTGATCGTGTTTATTTCTCATCATTCGACAATGACATTAAGGTATATGGAAGAATTAGAGCGATTAGCTCACTTGTTATTCGATGATGCAAGACATGAAAATAGTGTATACATGGAAGGAATGATCGATCAATCGATCTTATTACAACATAACAATGAATGATATAGTTAGTAGAGGGAATTTGTTAACGAACTAATTGATCTTTTTCTATTTCGACATGATGTAATCGAATCTGTTTAGGAAAAAAAAAGAAACTGACTGACATGAGGAAGTTAACTTGTCTGATTTGATGAACTAAACAAATCATGTGAAGATGAAAAGACCGGATGTATGTACGCACGTTTCATACAAATGTTTCCATTAAGTGTAACCTTGAAAGACCAACAGAACTACTGTTGATTAATTCGAACTAAATATAGAATAGAATTATTCATCATCATTGATGATATATCAATTAGAGAAATAAAGATAAAACAGATCTGTTCGCTGGAAAACTTTCCAGTTGAACAATTACTTCTTGCCATTCATTGAAGTACCTAGTCGGCGTTCCAATTATTAAGTTGACTTTTTTTACATAGTCGCTCCTACTTTTTGATTGTTAACCGACTGAATATGTCAATTGTTGAATTCTTCACGCGGTTCTACCTTTAACTATGAAGATTATTTCGTTCATTTAAGAGTTGAGCGTTTGCATAGCATCTGTCAAATTATAATCGACGCCTTGCTGTCAGAAATTATAATATTCTAAGATGTTCTCGAGACCATGGGAACATCTGACATAGAGAATGAAAACTTCAGATGATCTTGTTTTTTTCTCTGCTAATAATTACAAATCCGGTCTCTCTATGACAACACGATACGCTTGAAGATGTTGATTCAATGAATAAGAATTAATTCTAGAGCGAATAACAAACTTTCTCCGAGAAATTCTACAAGTTGTTGAAACATGTCCTAAACTTCCTGATCGGTCGTAAAGTATGTTCTTCCAAGTACACAGGCAGAGAGGAAAATCATGCTAAAGAAGATTCCGTTTAAATTTAGAATGAGTCTTCTCATGACAAAGACATTGAACCACAAAATCCAGAAAATTTGAATTAACCCCGAAGTGCAGCTATTTTTGCATTCGGGTGAGCATGAAAATGAATATTTATTGAAACAACGGAAATTTTAGTACGGGAAAATGATGTGTGAAGTTAATTATGAAATAATAAATCCGTCATGGTTAGCAAACTATGAATAGTTCGGAGCGAATAAAAGAAAACCATCGTGTTTTTCTGTTTGTCAGAGAATATTTCGAAATATAAAAGAATACTGATGATGAGGAAAACGTTGTTTTTGTTTTCAAAGAACTCATCTACGCAGTGTGTTGTCAAAATGAATAGTATTGTATGTGCAATGAGAAGTATGTGTTTGGTTTTCTATTGAAATCAGCTTTGCAGGTGAATCAACGGTTGATTATCTTTTTCTTCTCTTTTCTCTCCTTTAATATCGTCTGATATTCTCTTTCAACAAGATTTTCCTCCATGCTGAGGTTCTCCAATTGAAAAGATGCAGAATTCCTGTATTCTCTTCCAAATGTGACTATCATGGTAGAGGAAAAACAACCTTGAACGTCATGTTTTCCCAGGGATTATTGCCGCATGAATACGTTTTCAAATACTAAATCAAATCTGATTCCGAGAAGAACAATTCGCCGCGTCACGTAATCAATTATATGTCGTCATTATGGAAACTTGCAAACGTTTTTGGATACTCTTATCAGTCAGAGCAGACGAGGAGCGAGGGAGGTTGAGAGAAGAACAGAACACGATACTAGCTGCTCTTGTCTGTGGTGAGATAATGAGTTTTACTAATTCAATGTAGAATCTCGAATTATTTGCTTGAAATCTTCTTGCGTCGATAGTGAGCATTTTTTTTCCTCTTCTTCGCCTCCCGACGTCAACAGTCACGCAAAAAGCATATTGTGCGCGTCAAAGGATAAGACGAGGCAGCATCAATGCTTGCTTTTCTTCTCATTTTTTTTCTTGTTTACTGACTAAGCTAGTTGGTCGCTTATTTCTTTTAATATTCATTCATTATTATGATGAAAGTGGATGCTGATCAATCATTACCGCCTACAGATGCCAATAGTACTTTTCGTATCGAACAGGAGTCCACGGACAAGAGAAGCTATTGGAAAGATCTGCGACAAAGTTGCAACTGGATCCATTTAACACACAGATGTTTTGACGAGAAAGGTAATGGCGTTTTTCAAAGATTATCACATTTCATGTCACTTTAACCTTATATTCAGATTGGAAATTAGCATTTTGCTCTTCATCCATTGACTTTATTAATAAATATCCAAATATTTTCTTGTTATATCGAACAATTTTGTTCTTTCTAACATTAATTGACTTAATACATGGAATTGTCATCGCTCATCCTATTCATGAATGGTTCATCTATTTTACACATCTAACACTTCTCATCACATTCTTCGCTGTCTCCTTTCAGTTTTTAACGACATGTCGAGTGAATTTTTTCCGCGGCGATCGTATCGTTCCATCGTCACATGTCCAATATATTCACATGATCTTAATCGTGATCTCCTTAGGCACTGGTCTTGCCATATGTCTTCTCTACTGGACATTTATCTACAATCCCTCGATGTCAAATAACTATCTAAAGATGGTCTTCGATCACGGAGTCCTGTGGATTTTGATCTTCATCGATATCTTGATTTTTACACGTCTACCAATTTATATGATTGACTGTATTCCAATAATGATCTTTGCCTGCCTTTATGGACTATTCACAATCATTGCTTTTATCTTTAGTTTCAATTTTAGTAATAATAGAACGGGATACGTTTACCAGGCATTCGATCTTCATCATTCACCACTACGTGTGATCATGCAAATTCTTCTATTTATATTTCTTTTGCCTGTTGGAACAGTATTTATTCTTTGGAATGTCTTTCGCTTACGGCGTTCAATCGACGTTAAAGTAACGAATACGAGACGTATATCCAATGGAAATCTCATTGTTTAGTGTAGAAATTGAACGAGATCTTATTATTTTTCTAATAAAAGTTTTTTTTTCTTGTTATCTGAAAGCGTTTTATGAAGAACAATAACAACAACTAATTAGAAGATATTCATCCTATCGAAAATATTTTGTTGTTTTTGTATAAATTAGCATATGAACTAGGAGTTCATCTCGTTCTCGAAGAAAATGCGATGTCGATATAATTGAATTTCAACGAAATATATTTTCTAGTCAAACTGTCAAAAAATATTCGACTGAATAAAAACACACAAGTATGAAACAGTATGTATTAAACGCACACTTTTGGTTAGTCATCATCACTCCACCGGTTTCTCATCGCACTTTCGAATTTCTCCGGACTGATGGGTAAATTCACTGGGGCCAATGTTGATTCATCAGCAATTTTTAATGTATCAAATTGATTGGAAAGATTATCATGAGCCACTGAGTCTAAAACAGAAAAGAAAGCTTACTCTTGATAGAGACTTTCTCGTACCTTGTCTTTGCTTTCGTGCTTCTTTTAATCGATTGTAGGTTTCGTAAATTTTGATGATCTTTTCTAGATCAGTTTTCTGCTGTCGAACAGTTTCATGAGCATCGGAAGCGAAGTGGCTGTGCATTTGCCTTTCACCAGTGAAGATTTCCGAGCAAATTTTGCATGAATAGTCAGGATTCTTCGTACGAATCTGTTCCAAAGCGATCTGTTTTTGATGATGAATGTTATTGTCATGCGTGAAATGCACGTCTGCAACTTTATCACCGTACAATGGCAAATAACAAATATCACAATATGGTTTTAGACCAGAAGGATGATTCCATTCAAGTAATATACGCATCGTTTCATTGCTGATAGCGAACGATGCTGATGAAGCACTCTCATTGCTCGTGCTGATACTTATCGGCGTTGGCGACGATCTGTCTGTTGAAGTTTCTGATGGGATAGTTTTCGCTTTTTTCAGGTGTTTCACGCTGTCTAGGTGTTGTCGGTAAGGTGCTGATCCTGTGCAATGAATGTCACACACTTTGCAATAGAAATCAGTCGACATCTGTAATGGAAATGAGGAAGGATTGTTTTCACCTATTGAAAAACCTCGGATCACATCTTGTTTTCATCAACATGAGAATGATTCGTATATTTCATCGAAGACATATTTTCTAATCGAAGGACGTGGCAAAGACGGAATCTATCATTCTCAACCTGCACATCAGAAGGACATGAGTTCTGGCGAGGATTTATTTGTTTCATTCGTACAGCCTTGTCTGTCTATCCATTTATCTGTCTGGATTTCTTCAACCTTCATACGACTGTAATACATTTATCAATAACTACAAATATTAATCCTTGTTCTAGCCTTCACAACTCAAGGAATTGTCGTAAAAGAAGTTTCTTTTTCCCATTCTCATATATTTTTTTTCATTCTTTTCCTTCATTCGTCAAAAAACAACTTCGAATAATATAACAAAACAGAACAGATGTCAGTGATATTCAAGTTGAAGACGCTTGATAATCGCCAAGCCAAATTCGTCACCGATTCTTCGAACATATTCGCTACGATAAACTTGCTCGATATGTTCCTGATCTAAACATGCAACACCTTTCATTCCACCTACGATTGCTCCAATCATTGCAGCATTACTATCCGTGTCACCACCGATTTCACTCGCTCGAATTATTGTCTCGAAATCAGGTTGACATGTTGATAAACATGCAATAAGACCAATGACCATGGTTAAACTATCAACACAATAGAAAGTGCCGCCATTACTAACATCAATTATCGAACGTTCATCGATTTCTAACGATGAATTAACAAGATCCAGATACCGTTTGATACGTCTACTGATCAAATGTTTCTCTTCATTCAATTCGTACTTCGTTTCGTATTTGATACTCAATTCATAAAGGTACTGAAGAAAATCTTTGGATTGAATATTGTTGTTCTTCTCGAATAAGTAAGTACACATGTGCACGTAGATGCATGCTGTAGCTACAGCTACTGAACTTTGATGTGTCATGCGACAAATGATTTCAATTTGATTATCGTCAGTGTTTTGACAAAGACTATAATAGAACGCCAACGGTGCTAATTTCATTAGAACACCATTTCCCTCTGCTTGATTTCCGCTGTTAAGATACGTATGAGTACCAGTCGCTAATCTTTCAATCGCATTTTTGGTTCCACCCCAGCCAGCAGTTGATTCCTTCCATTCGATGATATGCTCTTCGACAACATTTGACATCAGATCATTATTTGTTCGAAGATATATCGTAATTGCTTTCATCATCGCTATTGATAATTGCGTATCATCAGTCCATCGTCCTATTTGCCAATTTTCCGGTATGTAAGGGTTATTGATAACACGAGTGTAGAGATTTGTATCGGTCTGCTTTTGAAATTCGATAATTTTCTCTCGTGTTAACGTCTCGTACGCAATACCTTTCGCGTCACCGATAGCCGTACCTAATGCAAGTCCAATAGCCCGCTGAAGAATATTATTCGCATCCATTTTTCTGAGAAATGATTCGCCCCTTACACTGAAATATTCATTGAGAAACAGATGAAATGAATAAAAACATTCTTCAGGTAATAAAAATTATTCTTATCGAAAACCAAAATCAACATCACAGTAGTTTGGTATTCTTTTTTTTCTCTCATTTATTCGATTAGTTTCGATGTAATGACATTTTATCGGTAGATTATCATGAAAATTAATAAAAGCTTCTCTCAAGGTCTTTCCAAGAAAACATGGTCTTTATCTGGCATCGCTGTCGTGTGAAGTACTTCTCGACGCACATGTTTCGTGTTACAGTTTAGAAATTAGAAGAATTGAGACCTCCAATGTTGTTGTTTTTCTATCATTGATTCGTTTTTCAATGGCATTGTGTGTATCCACAAGGTTCTCAATCGTTCTTTAATAAGAGAGTACATGATGTTTTTGCTTTCAGTCTTTTCATTGCTTGTTCTTTCCTCTCCAAGGCCTAAATAACAACATTGCTGATGGGAGCAATAACAACAATAATAATCATAATAAAAATAACAACAACAACATTAGAATTCCTTTCTTTTCTATCATCGGTTAAGTACATATTAAAAAATAGAAAATGAAAAAACAAAAAAACATTCGAGAGGTCCGCTCGGCCTCTCTGGAAAACACACACGTAAGTGCGTCAAGTGAATAACAACAACGGATGTTTTCGAAGGTTTTGGCGTCAGCAAGCAAAAGAATCAGAGAAACATATATGCGTATACGTAAAACTAAAGCGAAAATACGGCTTCACCTTCATCAAGACAGTTGAGAGAGAGAGAGAGAGAGAGAGAGAAGATGGAAAACAAGAGTATGCGAGGAAAACAAGACATGAAAGAGAAAAAAGATGATGAAGAAGAGAATTTGTTGTTTTTGCTTAGCTAGCGACATGCACTTAGTTTTTGAATAAGGTTATTTACTTGTTATGATTACTATGGTGCATTTAGATTCGAATCATTTAGTCGATATTTCGACGCGATTCAATCTCGATATTAACAAGATTAAAGGCAATTCTCTGATCGTTGAGTTTGTATATTTGTGTAAGTCGAAATGAGCTGTAACTGATCGTCTAACGTGAGTACAAACGAGAAATCTCGAGAGCCTTGAGCTTATCGGGTCTTGTCGTTGATGAAATACAAACATCGAGCGATATACTTCGAGAGGTTATCATATCCTGTCAAGGTCATTGACTGTGCGGTGTGACGAATGCGTAGGTGTGTATCCTTCATTTAGTTCTTTCTTCCATTTTTGTTTCTAGCATTCAAGGTCATCAAAGCCTATTTTTACATAGTGTTCTTCTCGATTCTCTCTCTTCTTCTTCTTCTTCGTCGTCGTCGTCTTCTTCGCTTTTCTCAGTCCCATTCATTCATGGGCACCGACCGAGCGAGGAAAGAAAGCAAAAGCGTCTTTATTTTGTCCTTCTCGTCTTTCTTTGTCTAGGAGGGGGTTCCCTACATTCTGATGTTACTGCTAACAGTATATATACATGTATATTTATTTAAAAAGGAAGAAAATATATAACTTAAACGAGCGATTGAAGTCAACAGCGATTAAGGTTTTGTTTTTCTTTATGATTTTTCAGATACATATCTATATGTATACATGGATTTCAATATCATCATGATCCTATCAATTTGAACAATCTCAGCCGTTATAATTCTATCAAAGTGATATATCTCCAAGTGTTCTTTTCTTAACGCCTAAATTCTCCTTTCATAGATATTCATCTGTACGGTAAATCGAAAAGTCAATTGATGAATCTAACAAATAATTCTGGTGAATATAAGAATGAGAAGAATCCGACAAGCGATAGTGACGATGATGATGACGGACTCGATCGTACAGATCCACCATCAGTACTCATCGAAAACTTTCTCACTGATAACGAAAATGAACAATTCGATAGTAGTGAGGAGGAAGACGACGACGATGATGGCAGTGATATTGAAAATCATTACTCTTCTAAGAATCCATTACCAACTGAAGATCGTCTAGGCTCATTATTACGACAATCAAATCGTCTTGTTGAATTAAAACTAAACACTTCACATAATCGTTTAATAAATAATCCACATCAGTCATTGCGGCATGCACTCTCCGATAGTGATATGTCAAAACGATCCCAGGCACAACCATCGATATTATACTCGTCATTATCATCAAATAACTTTTATCTTTCAACGAATCGATCACACCGTCTCTATTTACCATCCTCATGTATATATGATTTACAAAATCAAATAACCAATTGGTTACAAGCAAGTACTTATCTGATCGATTCAATCTCCACATCGATTTATCATCGACGATGCTGGTCACAACTTCTGTTAACTTATTTCATTGAATGTGGCTACATTAACCTTGAATTCAATCGTTGCACGCATTCAGCGTCAACAACAAGTCTGGATCAAGATTCGTGTTCTGTGCACAAGCACGGATGTGTACCTGAAGAAGATGCGTTCAAACTGTGTTCAATTTTACAGAAAGGCTCGCGTTTTAACATCAATTCGATTGTTTTCGATCACATACGTCGTATCATTGTTATCAAAAGCATGCAAGAAGGTAAACCCATCTTTCCAAGAGAATCCACCATTTCCCATCGAGTCCTTTTTCAGTGTTCAGCGATAACACAAATCTACAACAGGTTTATGTTAAACAATTGAAAAGTCTAAAACAATCGTTAACTCATCAACAATCATCCGTGACAAATATCAATAACAATTCAATCATAAATATTGCATCGATTTATTCGAAGTTACTACTGTTTCTCTCCAGTTTGTATTCGATCAAAGCCGAAACGATGCAAGCACTTTTCTGTCAACATCTTCTACACAATCCGTCTTATTCCTATCTGATTACTTCATGATTGAATATTCGTTTTGTTTTTCTGTTTTCGTACATGTGTGCGTATATTTCAAATGTGTATCCCGGTTGGTGACTTATATCAAGGTATAATGTCATTGTCTCGCTCAGATTATTTTAAAAAACGTATGTGTATGCGTGCGTGTGTGTGTGTGTGTATGCGTATATGTGTGCAGCAAAAACGGTGAATGAATTCAAGAAAAACAAATCATTCGTTGTTCTGTTTTTCTGAAAGACATTTTCTTTTTTTTTCATTAATTTAGATGAGTATACACTTGAATTTCAGTTTAGAGACGAAATGAAATGATATTGTTAATTGTTACCACCAGTTTTATAATAAGATCGCTTGTGCTTTTCTTGAATATCATATACGATTTCAAGTGAGAATTTGTATCAGACAATACTTGCCGGCGCAATTGCGTTCGTTTCAATTTGATCCGAGTCCATTGTAAGTTTTATAAGAACTGACAAGTTCTACTCAGCCTGACGATTTTGCTCGCTGAACCGGATTAGAAGCAATCGATCGGGAAACTATTTGGTTCATGTAGCAAAACATTCGTTCAATGACAAGGAAAGGTTAAATTAACCTAAATAATCGTATAATTCTCGTTTCAACAATGTTCATATCGTCGACCGTCATCTAGAGACCCCTGGAGTACGTATATAGTGATGATCGTTCGCTCTAATTTCGAAGTCGATTTTTTCACGTCTATAGAAGTTATTTGCGAACGAATGCATGCGAATTTGTGTTAATTGTGCTCGTATAGAAACGACGAGTTCATAGATTTTGCTGGCTTTGAATAGTATTTGCTAAACTAGACAGAAATCGATTCATAGGACGATGTTTTATCTCGTGTTTAATATGTTGCTTTTCGCTTGAGTGACGCAAAACATTTTCAACTGTATCATCATCGTCGGAATGTTGTTTTTCTTTCGTTTCTTTTATTAACTTCGTTAATCATACGGCATATCTGCCTTGAAGTGAAACAATAAATGATATATTCGCATTTTAGGTTTCAACTCTGAGCATGTCGAACTCGGCCGTTGAGAAAATCAGCGTGAACAAATGGATTGATGATAATAAAGATCAATTTCTTCCACCTGTTTGTAATAAACTGATGTAACTTCTACGCGAATCCAATTCTCGTCAAACAGTTACTCTGTTTGGTATTCTTTTGTAGGCATAACGATCAACTGACAATAATGTTTGTTGGTGGACCGAACGTCCGTAAGGATTATCATTTAGAGGAAGGCGAAGAGGTACGAAGAAGTTCGAAGAATTGACTCTTGGATGATTCGTTTTCTCATTTTTAAGCTTTTCTATCAACTCAAAGGTGATATGTGTTTAAAAGTTCTTGAGCAAAACCAACATCGAGATGTAATTATCAAAGAGGGAGAAGTACGGACGAGATCGAAATTTCAACCGACGAACTACGAAACTTATCAATATTTAGATTTTTCTTTTACCGGCGAGAATTCCGCATTCACCAAATCGGTTTGAAAACACTGTTGGCTTCGTCATGGAAAGGAGACGAGAGGAAAATGAGTTGGATTGCTTAAGGTAGAAAAGGCTTGCAATAAGGCGAAATCTTATCTTTCTTGATTTCAGATACTTCCAAAATCAATCAACCAATCGTTTATTTGAACGTTGGTTTCATACGACCGATCTGGGCATTCAATTAAAACCAGTGATCCAAGAGTGAGTTCGACAGGCATGTCCGTACCAGCTTAGTGAAGGAAGATCATCCATGATCGATAACTGACATAGGAGTCTACGGATGCGTACTAATTGAAAGATGATGCTCGATTACTTTCAATAGAAAAGAAAGCGAGAAATGAGTTATTGAGTTCGATAAATGAAAAGAAAAAAACATTTGATTTAGGATCAATCTTCAGTTGTTTATTTTTTTTCTCGGAAATATAATTATCGATTAAGTTTATCATTTTGCTTGTAATCTTCTTGGAGCCTTTAATAGTCTCAGCTTTCTTTAATACAAAGCTCTATATAAGCTGAAAAAGGCACATTTTCATAATGGCTTTTATGGTTTCTTTTTCAAGATTCTTTGCATCGGAAGAATATCGTACAAATCAACCGAAACCAGGTAAAGAAAATAACTGAATAAGTGCATTCACTTCATCATTTCCAACATCTCTACCTTCTCAGATAGTTTTCCCCAAGAACCGCCGGTGAAAAATGATGACAAGCTTCAATTGATCAGTCCATTTTCTTTGAACAACTGGTTGGAACAACATCAACACGACTTATCTCGCGAACATCCGATTAGTTTGTTTCCGGATCAATATCAAACGCGAGTTTGGATTTTTCCCAAAGGTGAACATACCATTGATTGTTCAACTGGCGACGTGTGGCTATGGCAACATGTTAGTGATATGAGTCGAGTTTTCCCAAAGAAAAAACAATCATGTCTTGTTTTTCTTTTGCACTTAGAAAGGACATTCAACAGCAAGAATTGTGACAGCGGATAGGAAAGAATCAGTTGTGAAGTTGGAGCCATCCGATTCGGTCTATTTAAATGTCGATTGGACGTAAGTATGGGCTTTGTTTTGTTGTTTACCGAGGAGAAAAAGTCGACTGCTCTTCTAAGAGATTCTTATGGGTATTTGATAAGAAAAAGAAGTCAAGAGTCTTATTCAATCGATCAAACAGCAATTAAACCCATTTGATGCTGACAAAAATATCAACAATAAGCTACGAGTCGGCTTACTTCGAGAATAATATGTTTTCTTGTCTGATTGAATTTATTTCTCAGTCTGTATTTTCGTGTACGGAATCGACACGATGATCAATACATACATGTTGTTTGAATCACACAATGAATTATGGAAACATATACAGAAGACATTTCTGTCTGAAGAAAGAGAAGATTATCGTTTTTGACGATGAGAAATACAGAGAGATAAAATTTGGCGACCGGGAAGAAGAGAAAACAATCCATCGTTGATGAGAAGTGATGACAGAAAAAATCTATCTAAAATTGACAATATGAGATTAATTTATAGGAACGGTTTCCGTCGAGTTCGGAAAAGCGATTTTTCTATGACAGATCCGTTGATTGTATGATTATCTTGACGAATTGTTGATATCGTTGCTGCTGCCGCTGTTGTAGTTGTGGTGGGTGATGTTGCTGTCGATGAGGATGCTACGGCTGGTGTAGTCATTCGAGATCCAAAATGCATAAATTGNTGTTGTGAGGTAGAATCTTTGTCTTGATGTGCACAAACCACAATCTTTCGTCAACGACAAGAAACGAAGAAAAAGAATATCGTTTTTTTTTTACTCTCTTTAAGCATAAGGTTTTTTGCGTGCATATGTGTACATAATTTGCATGAGAAGGCCATAGTACTTCTAGTCAACGTAGTTATTCTTTTTTTCTCTTTCTCTCTCCCCTTTCTCTTTTTTTTCTGTATTTTGCTGTTTTTTTTCAATTTTCAATCAGTAGTAGGCGACATCGCACGACTGCAGGTAAGTGTTGGAAGAGAATAGAAACCTGGATGTGTGCAAACCAAAACAGAAGAAAAGAAACACAGTCATTGATATGTGGTTTACGGCCGTCATTGCGAAGAGATTGGCAAACTGTTGTACACAATACAATATAAGAAAGGTCGCGAAGAGAATAGAAGTGTTCGCCCGCCACCGGCCTTTCTCTCTCTCTCTCTCTCTCTTTCCTTATATTCGAGAAAGAAAAAAAAACGAGATTCTTTTTCTTCGTTTCTTGTCGTTGACGAAAGATTGTGGTTGGTGCACATCAAGACAAAGAGTCGACCGCACAACAGCCATCCACCGTTTTAGTAAGTAAGAGAAGTAGTCGACGATGAAACAGCAAGCAGCTGATAGAAAGAAAAGAAAAACGAGTAAGCACAAGCAACCATGTGGTTACTAGATTTAATCATTACCACAATCGGCTAATGATTAAATCTTCTAGATTTCATTCGCATTTTCACATATTTACTACAAATAAATTCTTTTTTCTTCGAGCTCTGTCACTTTCTTTCGCCATCTTTTTTTTTCTTGTTATTCTTTTCATTCATACAGCGACATGTCCTTGAAAAAGACCTTGTTACCATAACAATCGTTCAATAGAATAATATTTGAACATTTATCTTCTAGATCAATTTGCCATTGTAGAGAACCGTCATGACAGAATTACTCAATAATTTCGACTGTGCAAATAACAACAGCACTAATCCAGCCAACAAAGATCTCTCAATAACATCAGCCTATAATAATGAACAAAATCTCTATCGTTCGTGTTTAGTTGGTGATTTAGAACGTGTTCAGTATTTACTTCGAAGCAATTCATCATCATCAATTGATCTCAATCGACAAAATTCCGACGGTTTAACATTGTTGCATTTCGCCTGTTCGAATAACTTCTACGGACTTGTTCAACTCCTCTTACAATACGATGCACAGAATCATATTCGTGATCATCTTGGACGAACATGTTTACACTATGCATCAATCAAAGGTTATCGGGCGATTATCAAATTACTACTGCAATCAATCGATGATTCTGTCAAACATGATTTCATTTATATCAATGATAATCAAAAAAAAAGTGCACTTGATTATGCCTGTGAAAACGATCATATTGATTTAGTCGAATTATTCTTAGAATTTACAAACGTAGACCAATTTGACCTGACTTCATCGTTATATTACTCGTGTCTCGAAGGTTATTTAGACATTTGCCATTTACTAATTAACAAACAACGCGAGAGAAAAGAGGCATTTCTTTTACAAACATCTTTCATTCAAAGCATTTGCCATCGTGGTCATATAGAAATCTTACGTTTATTATTCGAATACTTCTCTCTCGCCCAAGAACAACGGCATTGTGGAAACAGTACATTGTTCTATTGTATTACAACATTGGATCTTATTTTGGTTCGCAAACTATTGGAACGGCAGGCGCGTTTAACCGAAAAAGATATTCACGATTTAATAACATTCTGTCCATTAAATGATCAAAATCATTTCTATATCGACCATTACTTTGACTGTTTGGAATTACTGATTCGCTACCGCTTGAACTTCGATGATCAAAAAATTTGTAAATATTTCATTCGAGAATTATGTGAAAAATGTACAACAGTTTTAATTGGCAAGAAACTTCGCTATTTATTCGCTTTAGCACTTTACACAGGCTCGATTCAATTGCATCGTCGGTCAACAGTCAAATGGTGTGGGGAAATCAGTATTGTCACTAAACGTCACGTGAACTTAGTGGATGTTTTCAAACAAACAACGAAGAATTGGTCGTTGAAGCATATCCTAAGATTGAAAATTCGTCGTTCGATGAAAACGTTCAATCTTGAACAAATTAAACAATTACCCGGCTTACAACCAAACCACATGGAATTTCTTAGTTTTGAATACTTGTGAAAACTATAACAGTTTGTCTGTCTGTTTGTTTGTCTGTGTGTGTGTGTGTGTGCGATATTTTTTTAACTTATTAGGAAATCTATGTCGAAGACGGAATAAACATTACATAAACGGAACGAACCTACAAGTCCGCTCGATTTGACATTGACAAGCCTGTATTATTATCAATCATGTCATGTTGATAACACCTTGAGAGGTGATTGAATTCTATTGGATTTCGATTGTTGTCAGCTACAACAGCAATGTAATCGGATTCCGACGAATAAATTAATCTTTTTTTTTGGCGACCGAAATTTGCATAAAGATTAGTAATATAATCATTCATACAAACGTTGACGTACGGATTCGATCAGTCTACCTGACATCGTTTACTATCACATGAATATACAATTTTGTTCGAATGGAATATCAAGAGCGTGATTAGAATGTACAAAGAGTTTCATGTTATTGATTGAAGACAACACCCGATTGTATCATAGCTTCGGTAGATCGGAACGGTGAAAGATACGAATTGTATAAGTCTTTCATCACTGGTAATTTATGCGAAGTAATGGATAGAAAAATAGATTATACTTACTCGATAAACATCATTTTTTCTTCTCCTGACACCCAGACGTATTTGTGTCGAACTGTATCGATTTTAACAGGACAAAGAAAAGCAACGGTGTTTGAGACAAGGATGTATCAATCGTTTCGGATGGCTGCTTCTATAATTGTTCACACGATATTTCTATTCAAGTTTACTTATGCGTACACACATATCATAGACAAACGAATGGGTCAATCAACAGCCGAATTGATCAAAATATAAATATGTTTTGTTGTAACACAAATCAATTAAGATCTGTATGATCTATATTCATATAAATCATTGAGACAAGGTCTGCAAATATCTTTTATACGATAAGCAATAACATAATGAATAAAGACGAGCTAGTCGATTCAGCTCAAGGTTAAATCTACATTCAGTATAGTATAATGCGCAGAAGATGGATACATTAGATACATATAAACAAGATATTGGTAATTTCATACTCGAATGGTTTCTCCTGCTGACTCGCTGTCATATGTGAATATCATACAAACAAAGATCGTTTGGCAATGTTGTGATTCGATCAGACAAACACAGCTGTATCTATGGTAATTTACCATAGCGAATAAATGAGTTGGCTTTTATACAACAGTATAAATGTTTCTAAAAAGACGAGCTGCGTATCTGTGACATTTTATTACAACGAAGAGCAACGATGTTATTCAAACCGATTATACTGATCATCTATATGAAGTAAAATAATTTCATGAAGTGAACTTAGTATCAAAGCAATGATCTAATAGCTGAAAACAGAATGTATAGTGTGTAGTTGAACACACTCATTCAACACTTCTCTGATGGAATGGATTGAATAACCATATATGTTACATCATCTTTCACAGACATCTCTTGCAAATGGATGAAAACGATGAATTCATGCTTTGTTTCATACTACCAATTTGATATTTAATAGTATTGAACATCTGTAGAATAGTTCAGTGATGTAATACAGTGTATTTAATTATAAAGAACTCGCAAAGACATATATAGACTTGAACTCGAAAGAATCGAATTCGATGACATAGGACATCTATTGAATAAAGTTTCACTATCAAATCTTAGATAGTAAAAAGAACTATGGATTGTGGATTCGAATGAAACTAGAAGATGTCTTATTTCTTTTTCCATCACATCTTATTTTTGATCGCAATAACTCATATGACTTGGACACGGACAGAATACATAAGTCAGATACACATATGATGACAATATGAAAAATAAAGAGTTCCCCATACTTCTTCATAAAATCTATGTTGCCTTTTTGCAACAGAAGAGAAAGATCAGAGCATCTCTGATTCTAGTTTCTAACCGATGGAAGACTCTCTCTCTCTCTATTTTTGTAGATTCTATTAAAAAAAAGCTTTTAAGCCCTTGATATATTTATAGAGTTCGCCGTATTTAAATTTGACTTCAACGACATATTCATCAACCTCAAGCACTTCCATTCAACCCAAGCCGAGGTTAAAAAGAACATATTGTTGTTTTCGTCCGAACAGGTTAATATAAATCACTGACATTACTCATCGCCCTGCTTTTAACCCAATGATATTCATCAACAACTGTTTGTATTTATAGAATGAGAGTCAGCTAAAACCCTTCTATCATTTATTTTCATCGCCATCTAGATTCTATCTGACCACTTAGAACAATAACTATCATGTTACGCAGTTCAGTATCGATTATGACTGTTCTACTTGGTCTTTTCTCTCTTCTTGTCGTTCCATCTGAACAAGCAAATCCAGTTGCTTCACGACAGCCGAAACCGAAATTTCCAGCACTTATTGATGAAGAAGCATCACAATGGCTTTCAACACGTAGTCTTCCGCGTCGTTGGCGCTATCAAAATGTGAATCATCCATCGGCCGACCTGGATCAAAGTTTCAAACAACTGCATTCGCTTTATGACAATGGTATTCGTCAATACGATACACAATCATTTGAAGGTGTTTCGATGGAAGTCATCTTCGAAATGGTTTACAAACAGCAATCCTCGGCTATTTCCGGATAAGATACTCGATGTGAATTCTGTTTCAATTGATGTTTTTAAGCACTAATCAAACGAATCTCGATAAAATTTCTTTGAAAGCAAATAAAAACAAAAAGCACATACAAGATATGTCTTGTCTGATCTCGCTTTGCTTATTAAACCGTTATCTATCGTCGTAAAACGTTTGTGATGCAAGATCTTCTCACCTTCGAACTGATACGAATCGAATGTCAATAACAATTGCTTTATTAGCAAACATGTTAATTTCTTCGTGAAAATGAACACCATCTTTATCAATATTTAGATTGAAAATAAACAAATGAGAAGATATTTTCGTTTTCTTCGATTACGTTCGAATCATGCAACGGACAACGCGAGAACAATTAGGTCAATTCGTTTTCTTCTCGTTGAAAAGAACGGCAATAATGATGATTATCCCTGCTGGAAAGACGCTCACGCATCACTTCTTTTCCCACAACGTCGAAAAGATGAATATTTCTCTTCTACTTTTGTCCATGTTTGATGTCAGAAACTGAAGTTCATACATATGTATTCTGTCAGATAAACGAACCGAATAAAATTCTCGTGAAATGAGATTGTCTTACGTTTGGAATTGCTCATTTATTTTCCTGAATGAAAAACAGAGACGAATACTGCGCCATCATCCATTTCATACGCCTTTTGTATCGGCAGTTCCACTACATTTAATATCCGATTGAAGACTTTGTCACGACTCGCTAAGCTTACTTTAATACATTTGTCGGCGCCGATAGAAATATTGAAATCGCCAAACGTTAATCTCATGTCACCTACTATCATCTTTTCAATTTAAATAAACAAACAAATCATCTTATTGCCTCAAGCACGCTCGCGCAATAATGTCGGTCTTTCTTTTACAGATACAAATCGCGCTCAAAACGTGTCATCACACCTTGTCAGTTTTCTTAAGAAAACAACACACGATGTGTGGGAAAATAATGCTAAATATATACATATACAATTAACACACTAACAGAAGAAATGCTAATTTTTTTCGTCTATCTTATGTCATAAATCTGATGAGATTATTTGCCGCATATTTTTAGACGAGAGACAATGTTCGAATTTGTTTATTGCTAGTTTCCCATTTCGAATGTTCATCTCCTGCTGTTTCTTTCAGACACGCGCTTCGCTTATTCGCAAGTGCTAATTCTACCTTCTCCATTTCGTTTCCTCCTCTCTCATTCTCTCCTTTCGTCTCTCTGTCTCTCTCTTGCTATCCAATCATATGAAATGTTCATTTCTTTTCGAAAGATTATCACACGAAACATATAACGATGGAACAACAGCAACTAGTCACGATGCTTTCCATGGAGAAACTCTTTTTCTCACCAAAGTCCGTCAAATCGCATCCAAAACGACATTTGATCGCCAATAGTCTTCACAAAGTACGTCAATTTCATCTGCTCAAACAATATTCGATCTGCTGATTTCCATTTTAGTTGTGCGAGGATGAGAAAATGTCCGACGATGTATTTGCTTTGACAATGAACATATTCGATCGATTTGTTGCCAATCATTCGTTAACAAATGATAATCACTACTGCGAACTAATTGCCCTATCCTGTTATAACCTGGCGAAAAAACTTCGAGCGAATATTTTAATCAACAAAGAAAACGAAATCACATCACTGATATTTCAAGAGAAGAATTACCAAGAACACGAGATATTCGTAAGTGCATTATCTTCATGTCATCATCTGAAAACTGGTCGTTTTTAGGATGCGGAACAATTGATCATCGAAACATTAGATTGGGATCTATCGGCAGTTGTATCATATGACTACATTCCATTCTTATTATCATATCTTCTCCTTCCTGAAAATGATCTCATTAAACTGAATCTACATGTTCGAACTCTTCTCTCATTAGCAATATGCGGTAAGCAGGAGCCACGGATAAGATAAACATTGACTTATCATTTTCGCGTTGTCTCTCTAGTGATTAATACTTTAACGATTTTACCGAGTGTTCTTTGTTGTGCTTGCATACGAGAAGCAATCAAAGGTCTTTCAATTCTCCAACTTCATCCTGTTGACGAATTGATCTTACAGAATGTTCACTGTAATAAAGCTGATCTTATTCATACTCAATGTTTAATTGAACAAATCTTTCAATCTTGTCTACAAGCAATTCGACCCTCACCTCCCCGACGTTGTTTGGCGCCGATTGACACCAGCAACAAACCAAATGCTAGCCCGCGTGTGAAATGAAGATGAAAAAACTTGGTTCTTTTATTTTTCTTGTTTTTATTTTGTGCACCATTTATTATTATTTTGTTTGGAATAGAAATGAATAGATGATGTCATTTAATGAGATTTTGATTAGTTTCAAATAAAAAAAGAGATCTATGCATTTTTAATGAATTCAGATGATGTAAGAGCGATGATGAGAAAAAAATTCATTTCGTGATGACTTCAGAAAAAGCATGAACAACAACAAAAACACTTGTTCTGATGATACAACCACTTGACATTAAGGAAAAATATCTTTTACTTCCGCGATTGATCGATGAGAGAGATTAGGTCCCGGGGAGAGCGAGAGAGAGAAGAGAAGAGAAGAAATGAAATCATTTATTTCCAGAGGACGACATGCTGGGAAGATTCAAAAGAGCATTTTCGGATATCTGCAAAATGAAACAAAACAAAACAATCGACCATGGAAATCGATAGCCGTTAGGATACATTAGTTACGCAAATTTTTTCCTTCTGTCGATTGAAGAACAAACGAGCGATGATATCTTATCGATCGCGGATGAATTAGACAAATATAAGTCATTTGAATGAACAAACTACCTGAAAGCTGAAACTTTTTTTATCGGTCGCCATTTTGCCATTTTTCATTCCAAAGCCTCTACTTTTTTTTCGCCTGATTTAGCAAATTTTCGGGAGTAGATTAAGTGTATAGTTGCGATTTAGTTGAAATTTCGCTCAGTGGAACAAGGTGCTGAATTACCAGAGTACAGAGAGAAAGTAGCGCTCTGAAACTCGATTGGCTAAAAAAATAACCAATCAGAAGGCGAGTTTTTTACGAAATCTACCGTCGTACTTGACTCTGTAGAAAACTTGAGATCATTTGATTCTTCATCTTGTTGAACAAAATTGAATACTCAAAAATTCTTTCAATTAAAAAATCAATTATACCAAAGTACAACTCTTTCATTATAGATAAAATTACATGAAAGAGGAAGTCATGTCCGAAGAAGAACCTTCAACTTCGAATTTATTTCTCAATGAATTCCAAGATGTTTCAGCGTATAAAGATGTAAGTGATTGCCTGTCGACTGAAAGCAAATGAAGAGATTATCTTTCTCGTTTAGTCTGCCTGTGCCAACGTCGTGAAATTGATTCGCTCTTCGAACGATTTATCTCGTGCGAATGATCACGATTTTCTCATGAGTTTTGCACCACTTCGTCGCCGCATGGACACAGTCGCCGACAAAATCTTGCAAAAGTATGATGAAGACGTTCACATTCACATCCATATCTTTTTCTTCCTTAGTATGAGTAAAATATTGAAACAACAGAACTTACGTCGAGATTTGGGTATTACATCTTGGAAGGAAGCTGATCATGATGAAAAACTCGAGAAATTGATCGACATCAATGATGTTCTGTTTGAACGAATTGTAAAGCATCATTTTTTCACCAAATGAAGTTCTTTCAATTGATTTTTGTTTAGTCTTCATCGCTTGACGAAGTAGCAGGATTGAAGAAAACGTCGACCGAAGTGAAATCGTTAAAACCATCAGTTCGAAACGTTCATGCAACATGGAATAAAGAAGTAAAAAAGCATAGGAAAGCCTTTCATCAGTATTCACTCCGTCTTTAGACTGGATTCGTCTTACAAAACAATGTGTTTCCATCAAATCAACATCACAAACAACGTTCGAATACATTCGCATCGAATCATCAGCAAACAAAGAATATTCCCAAACCTCAATTGAAATTTTCGGATAAAGTTGACAACAGTCTCTATGTGCCATTCATCACTAAACTTCGGATAAAACCGAATGCGAAAACACCCTTACCAAGTAAGATCAGATTTTCCCACTAACTATTTGTAATTAGCTATTCTTTTTTTAAGTGGCTTTATCACAATTCGATCCTCAGACATTCAATGTGCTTCGAGTCGACGAACATCCTGAACTGTAAGCTTTTTCTCAATAGAAAACGATTGATGAGTTTGTTTTCTTGTGTGTATCAGATTAGTTCATCCATATTTTGATGAAATCGAGACATTCGAACCAGATGAAAGTGTCCTCAAACAAGTTGAACCTCAGGTAAGAATCCCTCGATTGCATTTTCGTAGGAAAACAACGACTTGTTCGTTTAGAAACCACAACCAATAGAAGAGACGAAATACTTGTTTGTTGACACGCCGGATACGCTCAAAATTATGATGGATCACATCGAGCAACAGACTGAATTAGCAATTGATCTCGAAGTACCGATGTCTACTTATTCGAATGAAATTTCACCCTTCGTTTCCACTTTAGCATCATTCGTATCGCTCATATCAAGGTTTCACTTGCTTATTACAAATATCTTCACGTACTGAAGATTTTCTGGTTGATACACTTGCCTTACGTGATGAATTACACATTCTAAACAACGTTTTCACCAATCCGAATGTGTTGAAAGTAAACTTCTATTGATAAACCTCTCGAATAATACTGTTCAATCATAGGTTTTCCATGGTGCTGATTCGGATATTGAATGGTTACAAAAAGACTTCGGTGTTTACGTTGTCAATATGTTCGATACTCATCAAGCCGCACGAGAATTAAACTTTCAATCGTTCTCACTTGCGTATCTATTGAAATTCTATTGCGAAATCGATGCGAACAAACAATTTCAGTTAGCTGATTGGAGAATAAGGTTGGCAGGGTGTGAATCTCTTTCCTAGAAATAGTCATCTTTCTTTCATAGACCTTTACCCGAAGAGTACTGTCGCTATGCTCGAGAAGATACGCATTATCTTCTTTACATTTATGATTTATTACGAAATCGTTTGTTGGAAAAATCGACGCAATTGCTCAAATCAGTCTATGAAAAATCGAAGATTGTTTGTCAAAAGGTAATGAGTCGATTTTGTATTTCATATCGTTTGATGAGCGTTTGCAATCTTTTTAGCTATATAAAAAACCATTCTTCGATGAAAATGCCTATCAAAATATTTATATTAAGTCGCGAAAGACATTCAATGTTCGGCAATTAGCAGCATTGAAATCTCTTTACTTTTGGCGTGATAATATCGCGCGAGAACAAGATGAATCGACTGGGTATGAACAATTAGTTTTCTATTCATGATGTGTTCATATGTTTATCTCATAGATACGTATTACCCAACCATATGTTACTTCAAATCTCAGAAATTCTTCCGAGGTTTGTCATTCTCTTGTATAACACCTTAGATTAAATTTACTTCCATTTGTTTTTAGAGAACCACAAGGTATACGTGCTTGTTGCAATCCAGTTCCAATACTTGTTCAACATAATCTACACGACATCCATCAGATCATTCTGCTTGCTCGAGATATACCTTTAAATGAAGTAGAGATTTTTCGGGAAAACAAGAAGCTGTTTCAGCAACTTTTATCTATTCGCAGGAACAAAGAGAACAGCACATTGCACCATTGACTTTACCTGTACTATACGATCCAGAAAATGTTCTGAATTGTCCACATGATACATCGCATCAAACTGAGCAACAACAAAATATATCGAATATTAATTCAACAAAGAAAACTCATTCCAACGGTAAATTTATTAACGAACTAGGAACATTCGTAAATATTTTGCTTCTCTTTCAAGACTTATCGTCGATTCTTGATGATACATTTCTCGAAGAATCAACAAAACGCGATGCACTAAATCTATCATCATTATTAATTCAAATTAAGAAACAGATGTTACCAATGGCAAAATCTCGATCGAACACATCGGCGAATTTGTTTGATGTGGTACATCATCTTGCAAAGATGAATTAAATTCGAACTAATCAACATTTTTTCATTTAGTATATGCCTTCACCATATCGAACAGCTTCATTAGATAATACAAAACCATTATGGCAAATCTACTATCCTGATCGAGATTTGTCAAGTATGCGACAATGTTAGATATAGAATCTCATCTGACTAAGCTGTCTTTTTTAGTTAATGGAAAATCAGTTCAACATGATAATAACAATCAAAATGGCACGAGTATTAGTAAAGAAAAGTCTAGTGACGACATCGAAATGATCATGCTTAGTAAACAGGTAAGAGAGAGAAGAGAAGTTCGATAAGACAGACAGTTGTTTGTTTCAGTCAACAGCAAAGCGAAAGCGCAAAGCTGCTGGCGATGAAAAAGTGAACAATAAGTCGAAAAATAAGCGATATCGACGTGGTAATGTTGCTGATGAAGTACCATCGACGATTCTCCTCGACAAAGATGATGATGAGGACGATGATCAAATTGAAGAAGAAGAAGAACCAGGCGAAATATCTGATGAGATCAATGAACGAAAGCATCAAACATCATTTCAACCGTTCAATTATGACAATGAAATCCTTTCAACTAGTAAGTGAAGCCAGAAATTAGTTATAATCAATGTCTGTTTTGTTTTCATTGAAGAAAAATTCAAGAAACCTGCGGATGATGAAGATATCTACGAACCAAATCGTCCTACAAAGTCTACAAAAGCAAGAGTAAACTATACCACATATCCCTTCTTTTCATCATAATATTTTCCATCTAGACACCAAAGCGGCCCGGTGTTCAACAAACCAACAAGTCTCTGTCCTATCCATTTCCAAAGAAGACTTGATGTTACCTATTGTTTCTCTTTCATGTTTCGTTGTTTACTAAACAAAAAGCAGGTCGACTGCATGGGATGCGATTTCTAGATATCTCCATGATCTAATCGATGTACTAGATATGAAATAACACCTCTGCTATTTCTAGATGTATGTATTTGATGGTCTTTCTAATCATCTCCGCTGGCAATTCTAGCGTCGATAGTTAACCTTTAAAGTGCCAGATATAACTGTAAATATTTTTTTGCGAGGTTATATTCAAACAACGTAATCATCATTCACATGTAACGAACTCTTGCGACGAGAGATTCGTATAATTTTATTTTGAATATCTTCTTCCATTGTGATGTTAATCGAACGACGGCATTTGCCTGAATGGAAAGGAATCATTACGTGACTTCAGTTCCAAAACTGATTGAGCAGCTGCAATTATCAAAGTAAGCATCATTGAAATAATCAGAATGAATAGGAAGAAGAATAGCATTCGCCCGAGACGCATCTTGATTTGTGCGCGTTGATACTGAAGACTTTCTTGATTGACTTTAGTTTTCGATAAATCGATTAGCATCTCACTTATAGCTGGTGGACAGAACTTGGCTGCTGCTTGCTGTGCATTTCCACGGCTAATAGCGAAAATAAACTGTCGCGTCGGAATCGAAAACGATAGATTATCAATATCGACATGGATCATCTGTTGAGATGGAATACGTTTTAAGAATATCAGTCGACTACGGCCACTTATATCAAGAATGACACTGCTGGGTACAATGTGTGGAATAATTTTAGTCTGTTCGTTTGACATTAGTTCAGGCTCTTCGTTATTCGCTTGTCCTGATTGTTTATTGATTAGAGCAACTAGTAGAACTAGTTGTGCGCGCATGCTCTTTGGTTTATAAGCCGAACTAAGAGCCAAAATATCTGGTAAACGTTGTCGTACAATTGTCCATTTTGATACGACAGTTTCGTGTTCGTCAGCTTCGGTATTATCATAAAAAGAAAGTGTTGCTTGGGCACGACGACGACGTAATTTTACTGCATATTTCCGTTCAGTAACAGTTGATACACAATCCACGAATGACTGTAAAGATATTTGATCGAACATTTTCATTCTGTAGTGAAATTTTTTACGTCTACTTACTGGAGAAAATGTAGAAACGTGTTGACGTCTATGTTGGTCACGGTAGGACTGCTTGAAGACATTCGTATACATGTTATGTACTTGCAGATGTTATTGAGAGTATGAATGTGAAGTAAAAGATACAATAACGATGTTAGCAGTGCAATTGGTATATAATGACATATCTAACCTTTTTGTGCATATGAAAGCGTAGGTAGTGCATCATCGATGTTCTTCTCTCATGGAATACTGAAGTTGTCCATGGACAAGTTACTTTTGTGTGTAAATATCATTGTCGAAGGAACATGACCTCATCGAAGAAACAAATCATTAGGACATATCTCTATCCGATAAAACCTTCTGGCGAAATTCATTTTCTATTCAACAATGTGATATGTAGGAGATGATCAATATTGAATGTATGAAATCTAATCTGGATTTTTGTTTCGAGATGTGTTTTGAAATCCTACGAAGAGATTGATTTCACTAGTCAACATTTGATTTATTTTTAGTCGCAAACGAATTTAATTTCATTGTCTAATTGAGTAACGTCACTGATGACGATGTTCCGATATGCGATGTCTTTCAGGTGAACTCATAATTTGTGTTTTTGTCAGGAAGTCGATATGATTGCTCGGCGTCATTGAAAGTGCATGGTTTAGATTTTATCTATGGTATGTACTTTAGTTGGTGATGTCAGGAAAAAGTACATTTTACTTGGAACAATTTACTTCCAGTATTGTCCAGACGAGATCTCGATAAATCCAAGTAGCAGTAAAAGGAGACTCCAATGTCCGAGATGTTCACAAAATCTATGGCGATCAAATATCGAAGACATTTGTAATTCGTTAGACTCACCTTTCTGGTTACTATTTTTATCTCATATATTTATCAGAAATCATGTTCTTATTTCGAAGACGAATTTCTCTACACTGATTTACCTTTAATCCTATGCACCCAGAATAGTGCTCACTTCTTGGTAGACATGCTGACACGTTGATTATCATTCTAAATATCATAAGTTGAATGGATGAGCACGCGTAGAAATATGAATTAAGCGAAGGCAAAAAAGTATGTCATGGATCAAGTTGGTAGTGAATGTAAAAGTAATTCTATTGCTAGACAAACTTGAATGTCACACGCTATCATATATCATTAAAAGATACTAATTATGCTACGTGCTTCCAAAATGAATCATAATCTGCGCATCATTTCCCTTCGGATGGTGTTCGAGACTGTGAGATGAAACCATTCATTTCTTTGTTACCTTTGATAATAGCGCAAACATTTGCTGTCGATCAACTCCCAGCAGTAAAGTTTACAGACATGTTGCATTAATATCGTTCCTTTTGTATCTAATCTGTTGAGATTCGGTAATTCCACGTTGATTCTAAATTACATTTATATGTACATAACTTTCTTTGTGGAACAAATTGATCTATGAGGACATTGACATGCTGTGTGAACTCAAGAAACCCCGTTTGTTGCTCTCACTGCTATTAGCAAACTACGCAGTCTTCAACTAATATCGAACAGTGTACGATCAAGGCTTTCCTTTCTACTTAGTTGCTAATTACTTCTCAAACAACTGTGAATAAAAGAGAAAAAAGAAATGTAATATGGCATTGAACTGAAAACGAAACAATGCGCTAAGAATAGTCTTTTCTTCTTTACAAAGGACCGTAATTTCTTCGACAAAGATTGAAAAGAAATTGATTGGAAATGAAAATTTTTTCACTATTATTTATTGATCGCATTCTGTATGTATGCGCACTGTTATCTATCACGTCTTGTAATCAGTCAAACAGCACGTTCTTTAAGGACAGCAAAAAAAACAACAAAAAAAGGAAAATCAATCTATCCAACTACCTCTACAAAAGAATTTGCTTTCCATGTCGAGAATGATTGATAGTTGGAGAACAAAACCCGTTACATGTAATAGATTGTTCGTACGGAATTTGGAACAAGTACTTTCCTTCGATTGAATATCCATTTATGTATATATATATTCTTGCTTGCAAATAAAAACTAAGATGCTCTTTTTTTCCATAAATAACTTTCACTTGAAAGTGCATTATACACGCGAGTAAAACAGAACAAAGATCGATGATGAAGAAGAAGCAGGAAATTCAAAGAAAAACATCAAACACGAGATTTTCGCAAGAAGAAGAAAACAAACTGAATGAAGTGATTTCATACACTGAAAAAAAAGGATGAGATTGACTGTTGTCATATGCTAGATATGTTGGCACGGGGTATTAACCAATTATCACCACGCAAATGAATAGACATTCTGACGCAAGAGAAATATCAAACCGACCGGCGGTTTGGCTTTTCGTTTTGCATTCTGATTAGTTTTACGTCCGTCCAGATCTATCATCGTCATCGTCGGAATTTATGCCTTGAGATGCATAAGTCGATTGTACTGTTCGTTTTTTCTTCTTCTTCTTCAATCGAGTATTACTGTTTTTTTTGGCTGCAGCTGAAGATGCTGCCGTTACTGAGCCGTTGCCATTTTGATTCGATGAATTAGCATCGGAATTTTGCGATGGTAACGGATCGGACAAGTCATTTGGTAATGAGCTAACCGTACTACCTCCATTATTATCGCATTCACGTAATTGTTCAAGAGTAATAATATTGTAATGCGAGTCGAAAACTGCGGGTGTGAGATCATTCGATGCACGAACAATGCGTATAGCATGGACTTTATCACGTAAAGAATTTGTTGATGCATCATTTGAATTACGTGTACGACAACCAAAACAACTAGTTAATGTTATCCAAAGACTTGACGTTTGATTTGAATGAATTTTCGGATGTGTCATATTGTCAGTATTAGCTAAGAGTTGGCTATTGTGACTGATGAGTTGTGGAGATGTTAGTGTACTTGTAGGGTGTGAATAAGTCTGATCGAGGCGAGTATGATTTAGCGAATGATTCACGGTACCGCCGCCGCCGCCACCACCACCGTGGTGATGGTGTGAGGGACTAGTAGGTGGAACGTCAGTTATAGGAAATTCGTATTCCATTTTCGATGAAGTTTCACTGCGTATTAGTCGAGCAACATTAGGTGATTGTTGATGAAACGCTGATTGATTTGTGAGTCCGGCAATAACGCCCATTTCGGACGATTGAGACGATTCTGCAGTGCCCATCTTGACATCCTAAATAGAGAGAAAGAAAAGACAGCTTCATCGATTGTTTCGATTAGAAAAAACCAACACATAAGACAAAAGAAAGAGAGAGAAAAGAATGCCATATCCAGACATGGAAATAACACTCGCTTGATTTCTTTAACAAATGAAAGCGAAATTATTTTTACATCGTTTTGCATTTTTTCCCTCAATTACTAAATCTTCCATATAAATTAATATTGATTTTTTTTTCTCTCCAGTAGCTTAATCCACATATGCACATGAAGTCAAAACAAATAATGATTGATGAATTTCTGGTATTTTATTAAATATAATCTCTAGTCGACTGAACTTTTCCTTGAGTCGACTGGTGCATCCGTCGACCGATGAACTATTTCTTTTTCGTCAAATCAATAAGAACCTCAAGAGTTCACTTACATGACGGTTGGGCACCGTTTAGCATTGTGACTAGATGTAAAGGTAACTGAATCTCTATCATGACAACATGACGACAGTACGTCGATAAAGAAATAAAAAAAAAGAAGAAGAAGAAGAAAGATATTTTTTCTCATTCATTCACTTATTTCTTCATTTCTTCTTCTCCCTTTCTCCCGTTCGCTCAAGCGGATTCCCGTCGGCTAGAATACTACAACTTGGTCGTCTAGATTCTTCAGCATCATTTTCCTTCATTTCTCTTTACCTATTCTGCAATACGAGCAAGCTGTGTTGTGCGTGGAAACACCTCACATCACAGCGTTCCGATGGCGAAAATGCAGAGACAGAAGAAGAAGAAGAAGAGAAAAAAGAAAAGAAAAATAGAAGCAAGAGAGTGAACATCCGGAGCAGCGTGCAAGAGAAATTCTGTTCAACATAACACTAATAGGAAAAGAGAACTAGAAGGAAGCCTTAGAAGGCCCGCCCATTTTTAGCTCTCGCCCTCTCCCGCTTTTCATCTATACAAAAACTCGTTCTGCTCTGCAATGTGTTTGTCTATTAGATTGTTATCTCAAAGATAAATATTACATCTCTATTTCGTGATCTATACTAGATATTTTCTTTGCCAATATCAACGAATCGAAAAACTTACCATGATCTTGTTCTTTTCATATAATATAAGATGTTTTTGTCTACCTAAGCATCCCGAGATACTTTCAAAGAAACGATTTCCCATAGAAAAAGCATCTAAATGCGCATGATATTGCTGTCAAAACGATGGTTCTACGATTTCTCTGCTTGACACATTTGCTGGAAGATGCGAATAGGAAAAAGAAAAAGCCCATCAAGGATTAATCGGTGCTGTTACAACGAACGCTGCTTCTTTTCCTTCTCTTTTTTGTTGCTATTATTATTATTATTATTTTTATTATTATTACTATTATTTCAGTTCTTAGCACCCGTCGGCGTGCGACCATCGTTTATCCGGATCTGTTTGTCGATCGAACATCGCTAATTGGAACGTGTAATAGTTCAACATACTTATCAACTCGAAGCAATAAAAGAAAGACACAAATTAGATTCGCCTATTAACAAAGATAACAGACTTAGAATTGGAAATCATGCAAGAGAAATACAAAAGAAGAAGAAGAAAAAGAAAAAAGACACGATGAAGGAAAGAAAGTTATCGAACTTGCGCGAAACCTTTCAATCGAAGAACCTTATTGAGAAATTCTTCTGTTCGAGATCGTGTATCCAAATCGACATATTTGTCGTCAGTTTTTTGTCAATGTTGACAGGAGGAAGAGATCATCAAGAACATCAACAGACATACACACATCGAGAGATTATATCGCAAAAGATTGTTTCTCACAAGATCATACCACATCTGCTTTATAATTTGCTTCAATCACACAGACATTTTCATTCAGTTTGCTTTGTCTAACTCGGTGGCGCACGAATATTTATCGATTAACAAGCTCCTATCCTGCTTCTAAACATCTCATGCTTGAACCTAATCTAACTTTTTCCATTTATTGTAATTAAAATATCGAAATAGATGATAATGAATCTACATGGAATAGGAAAACACGAAGTATATGAGAAGTAACAGGACACATTCATGCTAAATTGATTACCAAAAAAGGGATTTCTTAGTTTTTCTTAGCGCGAACCATTTCAAAAGGAGAACATGAATGTTTTCCCCATACTTTCATTCAAGTAGAAGAATATCTATTTTTATATACAATATGACGAAATGCTATAGACTTAATATGCATGCAAGAGAAACGTCAACTTACTTTAGTTAAAAGACAGACCGAAAGGAGTGAATAGTTTTGGATCTGTAAGTTTTTGTTTCTACTGAGTTACGTAATGTTGAGCTAGTCAAATACATCGATTGGGCAACGATGTCGATAGCGGAGATATACAAGATTATCAATACAATTAGGAAACGTTTGTAAACAAGAAGAAAAACAATGTTCGAGATTCTTTGATCAAGCTGCTTTTGTCGTCGATTTCTTTTTAATGGATGATCTACAAACGTTATTGTGTATGAATAAACGATTCTCTGCCTAGATGAATAAATAGCAAAAGTAGCAAATTTTTGCCATCTCTCTCTCTGTCTATATATATATATATGTTTGAATAGTGGAGCGCCTGCTCATCAATCCACTTTCATTGGAACGGCAACGAGCGAGTGGCTCGTCAGACGAGATCTTGTGCTATTCGTGTGTTTGTGTGCACGCATGTTCTTTTTCTCGCTTGCTCGGCTTTCAATACAAAATAAAGGAGCAAAAAATGACACGACATTTTCTTCAGATTTTCCTTCCCTCTCATTTCCAACAACGATGCACTAGAACTAATTGGGCTACTGTTGCTGTTATTATTCTTCTTCTTCGTTTTTCTGCCCTGAGAAAGTCAATATTGATGATTATTCTGTTTTCCAATTTGTAATCGCAGATCGATATTCATTTTTTGGACATGTTGATTAATTGTTTCAATATCGTTGCAAACAATAAGAAGATAAACAAACGAAACGATGGACAAGGACACGAAGATAAAGAAGAAATAGCAAGCATGTCTTGCACATAAAAGAAAACTTTAACATATGTTAACAGACAAATATGAGAATATACGATTCAATCGATAAGTTTTCGCATAACAAACTCGAGTTCTCTGCAAAGAAGTATCACTGACGAACACACCTCAATCTCTTCTCAAATTTTTCACTTTGATTTTCTCTGAATTTCAAATGTGGTGGAAAAAACATGAGGATTAACAAATCAATACTAAGAAGAAAAGTTCTTTTATAAATAGACGAACAGTTAGAAAACCTAATCTCTCGTTACAACCATTACATACGCGTATAACTTTATTTATTTTTCTTGACTTCTCTTCACTCAAATCTCATTTAGTTCATCGTCGAACTCCTATTGAATTCGAACATTGTCATCGAATGATTCCTGAGAAGATGCATTTGCACAACAAAGAATAAATGACACTATGGATATTTATAATTATTGATGAAAACAGTACATTAATGTGACATGTCATATATTCTTCATCTTAGTGAAACTCGACAGTTACATTTTGCACATCTCTTTTCTAAATCACATGATTCATTAAGAAAAAAGATTGTTCAACTAAAGCGAAACAATTTTCAGTTAGCACAAGGTTTTTCTACTTATACAATTGGTGACACTTTATCATACCTGATGAAACTCGTCTTGTCAAATAATTTAATTAATCAAGGAAATTTTCCATTGGCTAATTTTCAATAAACATTTTTATTTCTGGTCGAATGAGTCTGATTACTAGAGAAACGCGTTATGATATTGTCATCAACGGAGAAACTTTCCTAATTTGTACATCTCAATTACCAGCAGATCGGGTCATAAACAAAAAGTTCTAATGAAGACAGCAAAGAAGATCTAGCTATAACATAATGATCATGATCATAACGGCAGCAGAGAAAGCTTTCACGTGAAACAACTTACTTGATTACTATCATGGTCGATCATGTTCTTTGAGTATGTTAGGTAGAAAGTAAGACGAAAGATTTAAGACTCAATTTCCATTGAGGATGATATTCGTCGTCATTGTTTAGCATGATTTGCTGATTTAGTTTTGTCATTGTCGAAAGTGATTGAGATAGAGACTTAGATGCTGGGAACAAGCGACATATGAGAACGAGAGAAAGTGAAAAAATGAGTGGGATAAGAATGATAAAGAAGGACAAAATAAGTATACTTATATAAATGAAGAAGAAAGTGAAAAGGATGGATGGATTCAATGACCATATGTTTGTGTATCTTTCTTCTACAAGACTAAAAATATATGCGCGAGACAGAGAGAGAGAGGGAGAAGGAGAAAAATCTTTCTTTTTTCAACAAAAGACTAAGATCGTGTTCAATAATAACGATGATGCGAGAAGAAAAAGACTATGCTTTCAAGTTCATCAACGACTATTACTTGCAGATAAATTTCTAAGTAAAAAGCTTTACAATTTTCTTTTCTTTTCTTTCTTTTTTCTTCTCTGGAGCAGCAACTGCTAACACAATTTCTCTGAGTGCCACATAAGTATAGAAAATAGATCGATAGTGAATATCTTGCTTGTGAACTAAACCGACTCACAAAAAAAACTTGTCTATTGATAGGACACCAAAAATAGCAAAAAGCATGTCTTCGCTGAGAAAAAAGAAAATGTTGCTTAGCCGGAAGCAATCTATTTTGCTTACCAATACTAATCGTATCTATGGGGAGTCGATAGCCTATTGAAAACAATTAACGTGATGCATCAGAGACACGTAAACAAAAATTTCTTAGCTAACTAATGACGTATTTGAGGAAGAAAGACGATCCGTGCAATTACGACTCATATTCTTCAATTTAAAGGTACTTACAAATTTCGCCATGCTTCGACATCGCTGCTAAGACAAAGCTGCATGAATGAGATTTTGCCGGCAGATAACACGATATTTTCGTTGTCCAGATAGATTCTCCAGGAACAAAATACAATCTCGTCGACAAAAAGGTCATTGAATTTGTAAACAAACTAATATGTGTACAAAGGTATTATCGATGCAGAATAATTATATTCGACAGCCAACAAAGACAACATTGTTGCTGGGCCTTTCTGCTTTATTCATCATTATCGATATGATTTACATTCAGTCATTTATCAAAAAATTATTAAATCTAGACATGCAATACGATACTTAGCTATTTCATCGTTCTTTCGAAACATATGATGATTGAAAGAGGCGAACCAGTCAGCGAATAGATGAGTTCGTGACTAGTGCCATCGGGGGATTCGACGAGTTGATCTGGTGAAATGGGATGATTTCAGTCGAGAGAAATGCAATTGATTTAATAATGTAATGTATGATACTGACAATTTAATCAGAGAAGCATTTCTACTTGCACAATTCTTTCACTTGAATGAACATGTCTGAGAAGGGAATGCATGCACTAACGATGCTAAATTTAGCATTTGCAAAAGTAACTAGAAGACGGAGGAACCGACAGAATGATCACATGTGAAGAGGTTTCGTTTTTTTCGAAACAATAACAACACCCGATATGATTTAGTGCGGAAAGAAAAGATCACTTCGGTGTTTGATTATATCCGCCGAAACTGTAGCATTAGAATGAAAAATGATCGACCGTAGCAGACAAATTACCTATAAATAGGATATTCGTTGGGTACAGACAGTTTATATGAACAGAACATGCCTTTGCGACACAGCTTTGTTTTTTCTTTCGTATACTTTCAATGATTATTTGTCAATCAATATTTTTCAAGAAAAAAAGAAAAGCAAGCAGATTAGGAAGTTGTTTCCTTTAATTTCCTCATTTCCTTGTTGATGTCTCCTATTGCATTTACTCTCATCAGAGGCAAATGTCATTCTAGTTTCTTCAAGACAAAGAACTTATCAGAAAAGACACTCGCAATGAATGCTTTCTCGAAGATGGATGAGTCAAAGTCTCTTTTTGAAAAAAAAGAACAACAATTCCATCAATTGAATAGTAATTATAGTAGAAATATTACGATAATCGTACAAGAATTATTGTTGTTTGCTATGATTAATGACATTTAACTGTCAGGGATTAGATAAGAATGCTAACCACAAGAAGGAATGTCGACAAGCAAGCATCTCAAGAGACAAAATCGATTAGTATTCATTAGAATTTGCTTATACCTCGTTGTTGGCTGGTACACTATGTTTAAGAGTGAATTGCTGCTCGTTATTTTGTGTGTTGTCGTCGGAGAAATCGCTTCGAACGAACATGAACTGATTTACAATGAAGATTTTGTTTACTATGATGAATGTCGTGTTACAGTTTCACCAAGAAATTATCTTCATCCCGTACGCGCCTACACTCAAGTACAAAAGCCATGCAATGGAACGTTACTTTGGACGTATCCGAATTTACAATTAACATTGACCGTTGTGAATCTCGAAAACGATTCATTTACGATTTGCTTCGAGAAGAAGTCTCTTGATGATAAACTAGTTCGCTCAATTCAAGGTTTCGACGCACATACCAATCAAACACATCCTATGCGCGAATTGCAGGTGAACTCAGGGCTATTGCTTTGTTCAAATAGTCAAGGAAATCGTGTCTCAGTTGTGATTGAAGCACAACCGCTGTATGCTGGAGTACATCTACGTTACGCGATGTTTAATGAACGTCATCCATGGACAGCAGGTCCTTTTCCTGGTTGGGAACGATCGGAAAAATATTTATATGGACCATTAGAACAGGTGCCAATCAAACAGAAGAAAGTGCGACGTAATCGAAAAAAACTTCATTAAATTGATGACAAAAATCATGAGTTTTGTTCGTTTGAAATTGCTTATCCTCACATTAGACCTGCCTAATTTTCTCCCCGGGCGAAATGAATTTTTACACTTTTTTTTCTACTCACACCAATAAGCTATTATTAGAACAGCAAGATTTGCACGGTAGGTTTGCATGCATATTCGACTAAAAATAAAACTTGATCATTTCGCGTCGTCTACTACCGACATCATTCATTCATTTTACTATTTGCTGGGCATTTATTTATATGATAGGGCACATGTTTTGCAACGCCGTAATAATGACGAAGTTTCTGACTCGAAGAGAAGGAACGCTGCCGTTCTTCGATTTGAAATTTGTGATCTGAGTCTGATGTAAATCTGACGACATTTTATCTGATATATTTCTGACACTTTAGATAAATAAACGAAAGAAATGTGATAAAGCAACTAGCAGAACAAAGTGTTTCTTCTCTCTGCTTGTTGAGTAAAACTAGATAAGAAAAAAAGAGGACACATCTGCGTTATTCATGGCTAGTTCAAACTGGATCTCGGGCATTGTCGTCTGTACATTGATTGCTTCTTGTCTTTTTGTTGTTGCGGGCATTATTGGCATAGTCCTTGGACCACATATTCTGCAAAGTCAAGTCGAGAAACAATTACCACTAACAGCGGACTCCGATCAACTTGATTCATGGTCAACACCACCGGTTCCAATCTATTTACAGTTTTGGTTATGGGAATGTGTCAATGTTGGCGAAGTTCTTCGCGGTGCCAAACCGTACGTTGTTCAACGAGGTCCGTTTACTTATTTGGAGCATCGAACGAAGACCGGTGTGTATTTCAACGATAACTATACAGTGACCTATCGCCAACCGATTTCTTATACATTCGTGCCCGAGAAGTCGGCTCTTCCAGAAACGACTCGCATAACTATGGTCAACACCCCAATTGTAACGATTGTGGCACTACTTCGTAACCAATCAGCTAAAACGCAAGAAATTTTTAACATTGTCAAGAACTTTTTTAATGAAACGTTGTTTATTGACCATACAGCACGTGAATGGATTTGGGGTTATGAAGATCCTCTCTTGAAAGCAGCAAAATCACTACCAATTATCAAAGATCTAGTTCCCGATGATCATTTTGGATATTTCTACGGATCGAATGCTACAGACGATGGCCTGTACACAGTTTTCACAGGTAGAATACAATAATTTCGAATTCTAGCATGAACGATGACAGCTATTTCTTCGGACTAGGTGAAGATCATATTAATCAATTGAATAATATCAATAAATGGAATGGTAAATTAGTTTGTTTGCATCGTTCTAGTCCATGCGTATTCTTTTAGGTATTTCATCTTTACCCTATTGGCGAACACCTTGGGGGAATCAAATAAATGGTACTGATGGTTCATGGTTTCCTCCACTGATCGGCAAAGATCTCCAATCAATACGTCTTTACTTATATTCAACAGATATTTGCCGTTCACTTTACGCCAAATTCGAAAAGCATTCATCTGTCTTAGATATTCCAACAGAACTCTTTTCGATTCCTGCTGAGATATTCTTAAATTCCACTTTAAATCCCGATAATATTGCATTTGGTACTACAGATTCCGGTGTACTTGACGTGAGTGTATGCCGACAAGGTGCTCCTATCTATATTTCCTTACCACATCTACTCTATGCTGCTGATCGATATCAAAGTCGACTTGAAGGTATTGAACCTGACGCACCAATTCATCGAACAATATTCGAAGTTGAACCACACACAGGACTTGTATTAAGTGCACAAAAACGTTTGCAAATAAACGTCTTCCTCCAACCGGAACACTTCATTGACGATTTTAAATATATCTCCGAAGTTGTTTTACCAGCCATATGGATCAATGAATCGACAACGATCGACCAAAAGTCAGCTGATGATCTAAATAATCAAGTTCTACGATTTTTCACCATTGTTCGATGGGTTTCCATTGTCTTAATTCCGATTGGTATAGTTATCTTCATTGTGACGATAGTTTTATTTAAGAAACATCGTTCACGAGAAGAATCAACACCATTGCTATTTGCTGAAGCGAATAATACTATTGCGTCCGATCATGACCATTAAAATATTCTTTTATTTATTTTCGCGTTCACTTTTTCTTTGGATATTTTCTATTTTTGCAATAAAATAAATTGAACTTCGCAGTGGAATGAATGAAAATTCAAGTTAGTCATAGAAGTGTCGCTTTTTCACTCACAAATTATGAAATAAGCAAGAAAATATAGTACATGCTTCTATTTTCTCTACTGGTCCTTAATAGTCAGCTAATGTATACGAATCGTGCTGCAACCCGATGCTTTCGTAATGGGCAATGAGTTAGGATAATGACGAGTGAAATCAATATGAAAAATATATCTCATAATATCAAGTACAACGATGAACATCGTCAAACCACTAATAGCTATGATTGCAAACGATCTGGCTACGGATTGTTTGATTCGAATCAACGTTGCAATATGTCCATAATATAGGCCTGAACGATTGCTGGATAGGCACATACATCTGTAACTCGATTATACTGGCTGATAAATGCCCCCGATTAAAACGAGATCTGTTCAAACAGAAAACTATTCTGACGGAAAAAGGTAGATCCTTCTATTTTCACAGCATTCATGGCGATAGTAATGTTTTCACCAACTTTCTCATTACTAAACAGTGTGAGTACAAATCTGAATGTATTGATAGTTGAGATCGTTGTTTTGCATAGTTATTGGACATACATCATTATTCTTTAATAGTTAGATTATTTTCGCGAAACAAAACAAAACAATGACAACAACATTCTTCTATTTGAACACTGTATTTCATTTTTACACGAGAATTACGAAGAAACAAGTCCAAGCAAGAATGAATGTTTGTTCTTGTTCACAGAACACTTTTCTGTTTGTTGCCAATACGTTCTTGTCTAAAGCTCGAAACTTCATGCCGCTGATGTCTGCTTAGAGAGTTGCAAACAAGTATTTGACTAGATGCGCAAAAAACAAGAAATATGAACAAACGCACAAACGAATTCTGACGGAGTAAAGAAGAAGAAGAAGAAGAGAAAAGATATTCGAATAAACGGACGACAAATAAAAATAGAGCACCAACATCATACAAACACACACGCGTACACAAAAGAAAAAAAAACAGAGAAATTAATTCTGATGATAGAATTTTATATACACAATGATCTATATTACGAACATTCTCGCGAAAGTTTGCCGTGAACAAAGCAGATTGAGATTCATCGATGATTGAAGAACATTCACCTACACATCATCGCCATGCTAAAATCAAAACCAAGAATAATGAGAATGTCAAGTCAGACGCAACAACCAAAAATCAAGCATCAATGATTAGAAAGCGTTAGAATAGTTCACGCCTACACCAATCTAGTGTAGAATACCTCAAACAGCACTAGGTTTCGTCTTCTTTTTCGACTAAAGGAAATTCTTCTCAATAGCGATTCAAGTTCAGTAAGAAAAATCGTTTACCTTCTTGGAAGAATGACCATTTGAGTAACCATTTTGCTCGGAATTATTCTCTGCATTATTGGAATTTATCATTGGTGCGGATTGATGATCACTAAGAGAAATAAAATACAAAACATATGTAATGAAAATTCATGCGAGTAAGAAATAATAGCAAAGGAAAAAATGAGCTGAGACATACAATGAACAAAATGATTTAGACTGAAGAACGATAGAGAAACATTTGCGTTTGTTTCTTTTTCAAATCTCACGTTAACTCCGATCACCGACAAATATTTATCATGCAATTATAAACATCATATAGAATGTGGGTCAAAATTCAAGAGAACCTACGTCCGGCTATTTTTTGCCATACTATAAAAAGGATTGACTTTTCTTCGAGTTGAACAAAAACAAGCAAATGTATTGCTGGTCGATTACTTACGAATCAGTTGTTTTGTTTTTGCCACCAAGTCGATAGACTCGTAACAGAACACAGATCACAACGAAGATAACGGCAAATAAAATAATACCCAAAATGATACCAACAATAACCCATTTGCTTGGCTGATTTCGTCGATAGTTTTGTATCAAAGGGTTCATGGTGGCTGTGATACTGCCTATGAATTAGGAAAGGAAAACAACAATGAGCATAACAGTGGTAATTAGGCAAGGATGTCATACCACTTCTGGCGCTCAGTGTTGTAATACGGAGTTTTTGTTCGGCTGCACCAGCTTCATTGTATAACTTAACAAGAACTATGTAGCTAGTCGTTGGTTTTAAATTAGGAATTTCATATTCGGAAATAGAAGCGTCAATTGGAACTGGTGTGCTGAATGGTCCGTCAGGTTCAAAACTGTTGTCATTTTTAGCCTAGTAAGAAGAGATTTGTTAGAAAATAGGTTTTGGTTTCGAACAGTGACTATTTACTTTAGCATAGAGGACTTCAGCACGAATGATTGGAGCTCCACCATCGGATTCGATCGTCCATTTAATTAAACAACTGCGATCACTGAAACAAGTTTCGTTCTTATTTTCATCTGTTTTCGTGATTTTAAAATCTGGAATTTGTCTGTCCAATGTGCGGAACGTTGTCGAGCTACTTTGTTGGCCTGTACCAGCACGAGATTTCGCATAGATTGTAAAACGATAAGTGGTACTTGGCTTGATTTTCTCTATTTTCAATATTTGACCCGATTGTTGAGGATCATCGGAAACAGATTGCGCTAAAACAATTGAAACACATAATATCAAAAACCTGTCTGATCGATTTCATCTGCTTGATGAGCACTCGATATTTATCAGGACGACTCTTACCTGGAATAACTAATGTTTGGCCTTGATCATCTGTCTTATCAGCTAGACCGTATTTAATCACGTATTCCATTAGTGGAAGACCACCGGCTTCTGGTGGTTGAAGAACAATTTCGACGCCATTGGTTAATGGTTTGACTTCGGATACTCGAACTTTTTTCGGTGGTTCGGCACGTTGAAGTGTAAATGAATGTCGACCGACACGCGGATTCAATGCTCGGCATTCGAAACTGATACCAAAATCCTGTTCGATCGGTGTATACTAGACACAAAATAAATGATCGATCCCTTTGATTTTTATTCAAACTCAGACGAAAAGGAGCCTACCGAAAGAACACTTTCAAACAATGTTGATCCAAGTTGTTTAGTTGTTATATCATTTACACCGTTATCAACATCGACAGCTAGTGTCCGTCCTTCCCGCTCTTCAACAGTTCGAACCATTTTGATCCATTGTATTTGTGGCGGTGGATAGGATTCGAATTGACAACGCATGACGACTCGATAGTTAGGAATTGTTGAGACAGTTTGAATATTTGGCCCAACAAAAACCGGTTGAACTACAATGGAAGATCTCAATATTTCTAGACAGGAATTTGTTGTGTACTTACATTGAATATAAAGACTAGCAATTGAATAGGAACTGTCAGCAAGATTTTTCGCTACGCATGAATAATTGCCGAAATGTTCTCGACGGACAGGATTGAAACGTAGTTCGATCAGTTTATCTCTTTCCAAGTGTGTCTTATCAACGTATATGCCATTAGTAGATTGAATTGGTGTACTATTCAAATATTGCCATTCCAATGAGAGACTTTCTGATGAACCACGTTCAACACGACATTGAAAAGAGATTTGTTGAGGATGATGATCATCGAGGTTAATTTCGATAGGTGCCATGGGCGCTAACCGTGGTGGAACTAAACAAAAGCAAAGGAAACTAAATCTCGTTCTAACAAAGACTCAACACTTACCAATCACATTCAAATTATATTCAGCTCGAAGACCTTTTGGATCGTATTCATTATAAGCATGACACGAATACTTTCCATTGTCAGTTTCGTCCACGTAGTTAATCGTCAATTGATTGCCTCGTACAACAAATTTAGGTACTTCACTCGCACCAACAGGTGAATCCTAAATTTAAACAAATTCACATTAGTTTACTTCTTTTTCCGCATAGGAAAATGAGCAAACAAAAGAATCTGTCTAATCACGCGTCGGGGGGCGGTACAATGGCACACACATATATAAATATATATATATAGGTATATATATACGCACACACATACACACACGTGCATTGAGCCAGTCAGAAAATACACACAAAAATATCTACTGTAAGCATCATGCTGATAGGATAACCTTTTGTTTTGGTCGATTGATGTACGTCCGCCCCCTTTCTTTTTTTTGTTGTCTTTCACTCACATGCTGTTTTTCGTCTGTTGTCAAAATATTCGATATGAAATTATAAAATACCATAGTTCGATCTCGTGGAGTCGTCTCTATGTCGTTTCTCTGAATGCATATAGGTGAGAGTGAGAGATACAAAAGTCAATGATTTGAAATAATAGGATTAGTTTGTAAGAAAAATTCTAATAACAGTGAAATAACTGATATTGTGCTCTACAGATTAGGTCACACACAAGAAATATGTCTGTCTTCGTGTTACCGAATTGGCTAAAACATTGATCTGAATGGAAAAAATAATAAAAGGGAAGAAGTTTATAAAACAAAGTAATAATCAAAGCAAAAACTGATAAATTCACTACAAAATATAAAATAATAATAATAATAATAATAAAGAAACAGACATGCATACATCACGATCACTCAAATTAAAGAACTATCATGCTGATAGATATCGAGATATCTCTTGAATTTTATTTATAATCTCTATATCTTACTTTGACAGGTCTCAATTCATCTGCCTATAGATCAATGAGGAGATTATTGTTGTTTTCATTATTTTCGTGAGGTGAACATTTGCAATCGTAGTTCGATTTTTCAGTCAAAAGAAACTTACCGATCCGTAATACCAGGCAAATTTTGGCGGCGGTAAACCAGTTGCATCACACACTAACGTAGCGGTTTTCTTTTCAATAGCACATGGAGTAGCACACGTGATACGAGGCTGAGTAACGGATTCTGTGAAACAAAAGAATTATCAACGAATGTTTGGATTAGTAAAGAAACCTTACTTGAAATCACAACAGTTATCGGAAAATCCCGTGATTCGCCAGTTTCAAGTACATCAGCGCGACACCAGAATGTGTCATTGTCGGACATTTCTACTCGATTAATTCGTAGACCATCATTGACACGCGTGTAATACGGTCCATCTAGTAATAATAGAGGTCATTTTTACATCATTCTAATGCAATAGTTTCTTTTTCAAACCGTACCAACACGAGTTTTGTCTTGTCCTTTAAACCAAGACACTTCAGCTGCGGGACTTGCTAGGACTTGGCATTTAATTTTGACAGCTTCTCCAAGAGCAGCATATTGAACAGAATCACCATGAAATGTAATTGGAACTGAAGCCAAAGAGGAAGGAAAAAAAAGAAACGAATGAACTCAATAATTTCTTTGTCGTATTCAATCAACCTTTGATATTTAATTGGAAGGATTTGCGACTTTGTCGACCATTACTGTCCGTACCCACACATTCCCATGTACCTATTGAAAAGAAAAGATGAGAAAGAAGCAGAATTATTAACTGAGAATGTTCAAATCTTTCATGCAGACGAATGCCGGAACGAGTTATGTTGCTATTTCCTGTCTTACACCTATTAACAGTATCCGAATTAAATTGAAGTGAGGGTCAAGCAAATAGTTCAAGAGAAAGTAACAATCTAAGAGTCTTAGAGATTCAAAGAGAAGAAATTGGAACGTGACGATTTCATTCATGGAATTACAGAAAGTACGGAAATTGTTCGATCAATTATATTCTATGTGATCTCCTCTTCTCGCCGCTAAAGAATAAGAATTCTTAAAGGATAAATACCTTGATCGTCGGTTGTTAAATTTCGAATACGTAATCGGATTTCATTAGATTGTCGTTCAATTGTAACACTAAAACGACGAATGAGAATCGATCGTTGCTTTGAAGATGAGTGTCTTCCTTTAGTTTTATTACCGATCGTGCTCATTTTCAGGTATATCTCTCTGTTGTGGTGATTTCCAGCCAACCACTCGACTGTTCGATTGACCAGTACATGAAGCAACAAAAGATCTGTATTGATCTCTGGTCAATGATGTTTCAGCGGGCTTTATAATCAATTGTCCCTGAGTTTGTATTGAAACTATAAAAAAGAAAACAAGCAAATCAAACTTCGCAGTTCTTCATTATTGATCGTTTTCTTTTCTTTTGTTCTTCGATTGAATAGTTAAATACAAAATGAAAAATGAAACTAATCATACGGATGAAAGGTCAAAAAACAACACAGGTCTATAAAGATGTCTCCTAATGACAAAATGATCGAACTGCCATCAGGTGTCGTCGTATTTCAAGAGAATAATGAGGATTCATCAATCTGACTATTATTATTTCAACTGNTGAGTTCGGTCAAGAGAAGAATTTGTGAAAGTGATCTAACATACACACACACATGCTGATGAAGAGAGAAAAAAGAGAATCTTGATTGATGTCCATTCATATGGCTATCTCTAAAATACATACTCATGTCTTATTTTCTTTTGATAAGTGAAGAATGGCAATTATATGATGGTGTAAATCTCTGAAGACACTATCTTCAATTGTACACTGTGCTAATCCAATGACCGATCATAGCATGAACACCCCACTGACTAGTAAGGGCGGTGGAATCGAAATAATATTTGCATAACGTGATCGACTTGTCGTCTGGTGCCACTCATTGAAATTCTCATGTCAGTTTTTTTTCCCTCTCTTTTTTCTTGCTCTAGCTTATACACACACACACACACTCTCTCTCTCTCTCATCCACTCACGCGTTCTAATTCAATACAGTTTATGTTTGTCCAGTTCAAATATTTCTTTTGCTTTCTTTACACACCTTTTGTCTTCATCTCAAATAGACGGACATAATCAAGATTCGTTGCGATAAAATGAAGTGTACCAAGAGACCCAGATGATTTCAATAATGATGATATGATGAATTTCTGACTAGTTAGATGAGAGAGAGCGGGAGAAACAGATGAGATGTGATTGATGACAAAGCAAGATGGCTAAGATCAAAACAATGAATGAATGAATGAATGAACATGCGAATGAATACATACCCACAGAGTAAGACAAGAAAATACGAGGACATTCTGTTTATTCATCTAAACAATATACATACATCGATTAGAGCGATGGCAAATCGGGAGGATGTTTCATTTAGATTATGTTGTTGTTCTTTCCTGGAGACATTGTGTTTTCTTCATTTCGCCTAATCCATTAAAAAGAGAAAGAACACATCCGTATTCTGTTTTTGACATTGGATATGCTATATCTCAATGTGCACGGAAACAGGAGTCGAAACATGTGCAAAGTGTTGTATGTTCAATCAAGCAACAGCAGTAATGCTTGCTCTCCAGTATGAATTGATCGAAATTAATCTGGCAGTTACTCTCATCATGATCATGATCATCAACACGAGTTGGCCCGTCATGAACAAACTCATTGCCGCAGGTGTTAAAATAAGGATATAATGAAAAGAAGAGGGAGGAGGGCGTCATCATCAGTTGATCAATGCATATATACATACTTGAGTTTGAACAACTGACCGGTGGTCACTATTCTCAAATCACATACATTAAATTATCTTCAGGCAAGAAGACGAGGAAAAAAAGGAATATTCATTAAAATGTAAGTGAAAAATGGATACTTTTACTTCATCTTCGGCTTTTCACTTGATAATTTAATCAGCTAAAAAATAGGTTGTACTCTTTTCTTTTGTAATAGCTTTCCGATGGATTTAATTTCAAGAAAAACACTTCGATTGATAAGCCTTTTGTGTAGACATGCGAGTGTGTATGTGTGTACGCAAATAGAAATCTTATGAACGATGCTATCAGTTTTATCTATTTGTCAACATATATCGATGTCTTGTGCTTCGATTACTACGAGAAAGGTCAAAGAACGATGTTCATCATTAGTAATGACTGCCTCGAATGAAGAGTATTTGCTCAGAAAAGAAAGAAGCAAAGACACATATATGATCAGATTGTTGATCAGTAGAAAGAATCTATTCATCTTCAGTAAATAATGAACTCGGATGCAAAAGATGAAAAAAACAGAAGGTGATAATTTTCATATTGAATTTTAATCTCATTTGACCAAGATGATCTGATTAAGATATTATAATAAATGTCAAAATGTGAGAGATTCAACGAATTAGATTTGCTTGATCTGCTTCATTTCGATGAACTTGAACTACTTTTCAAATCGGTAGACCCGACATAGAATAACAAAAAAAAAGATGTCAGACATACATAAATTTTCATCTCAATAAACCGATCAATATGAACGATATGGTGCTGGTTGAACTCATTTTTGATGTTCACTTGTAAAGAGAAAAAGCATTCCGATGCTACTGCGAATGATCTCATTAGAAGACAATGTCAAATATTAGAACAATGCCGTTTTCTTCCTAATCAAGATAACATTTTTGCTTCATATATCAAAATCATAACATAGCCTTTCTTCTTGTTATATCTTCATCTTTGCTTTGATATACAGACTGATTTGTCAAAAGTTTCTCATCTCTATCGTAAGCATTGTTACATAAGCGAAAGATCATTACTGGCATTAATGATTTTCCAGCCTGACTCACTCTATTTTTGGCTGTTGGTTTCAATGGGAAAAAACCCAGCCTGAGTGTTTTTATCACTGTTTGCAAGGAGAACACGAAATACGTCACTGGGTTTTTTCTGTTTGCTTCTCAGCGAGTAACTCGATTACCGCACGTGATGTGTATGACATTTTAATCTTTTTTCCTTCTATTACTCAGAAAGGTAAAAAATGGCCAAGCTGTTAATACACTAGTTTTACGCGATTGGATGTTTCCCTAGAAAGGTAGTGAGTGTAGTATATAAGGTACTCTTTATTCTAGTTTGTAATCATTTCGAGTAGAATTTGCAAGTAATGCCTCCTGTACCTAGCGAAACAGCAGGTTTTCAACCAAGTAACGATGAGTCTATGTCTAACAAACTGGAATCTCTTCGTGAGAGCTCGGCTAAACGTGTGATGTCAGATATTGATCTAGACGTAAGTTGACTTTTCATACTTTTCCTATATTGTAGCCAGTAATTCATAGCGAAAATAGCTAGAGATCAGCAGAAATATGGTAGAAAAATTAAGCTTTGCGATAAAAAAGATCTCGTAGATACCATAAAAAATGCTTCCAAAGCTCTCAGTTAAAGGGAAAATTTTGTCATTTCGTCATAGTAAATCTTCTTGAAATTTCTACGAGATATTGAGTAAAGCGTGATGCAAATGATAGTAAGGTTATTCTCAAACAAAGGTTTTTATTTGGATATGGTTTCTTGCCCATGCATCAATACATAGGAATTATACCTCAAACAAAAAGAGAATTCTCTTGAAAAGCGGTTGAAGATGTCGCGAACGTTAAGCCCGCTTGTGATGCGATAGATAGGTTTGTCTATAAGATCGACTAGTCATGGAGTATCTTGGAAAATGTCCAGAGTGTTATTGGGAAAATTTTCAGTAGAATGAAAAAGCATAATCTATATAAAGAGCATAGATGTGTAAGGAAAGGAAGTGAATAAACACATAACAATATCATCGCTATGATTCGTCTTCAGGTGAACTGTCGTTATTCACAATGAATCAATCAAATATCTATAGAGTAGACTAAGAAATTCTTTTTTCGATTTTAGTCTGATACTGACAAAAAAGCAATCAAACGAGAATGTCGCACGACGAATGCAACTGTATTGATACCATGTCCACTTGTAGCGCATGGCTGCTTACGTGAGGTAGCTTACGACGAGCTCGATGCACATTATTTAAGTTCAATTCATCAAGAATGTATAGCGAAAGCAATTGAGACACAAGCAAAAAAATCTAATACTGTACCTGAATGTGTTGATTTGTTGACTGATGCTGTTTCGTGTCTACATAATGAAAATATTCAAGTTCAAAATACTGCTATAGAACTGAACCATGCGGTGACTGTATTCGGTAATCAAATTCAATCGTTAAAAAGTTCTATTGAAGAAACAAATCAATTTATGAGTGCTTCGCAAACGCAGCAGAGTTTACTACAAACGGAAATGGAAACCATGAAAGAGAAGATAAACGAACTGAGTACTCAAGTATGCAACGATGGAACATTTATCTGGAAAATTACCGATGTTGCACAAAAAATTAGTGATGCTATTGCTGAACGACAAACAAGTATCTACTCTCCTCCGTTCTACTCATCGAGTAATGGTTATAAAATGTGTATGAGATTGTACGTGAACGGTGATGGTCAAGCACGACGAACTCATCTTTCGCTATTCTTCGTACTACTTCGTGGTGAATATGATGCCATTTTGGATTGGCCATTCTCGTATAAAGTCACTTTTTGTCTCTTTAATCAACAAGACAAACGACATTTGATTGACTCGTTTCGACCGGATCCAAAATCAAATAGTTTCCAACGGCCAAGAACTGGGATGAATATTGCTTCTGGCATTCCTCGCTTCTGTCCGTTGACGTCGATTCATCAGGCCAATAGTCCATACGTACGTGATGATTGCATGTTCATTCGATGTATAATCGATTTTGGTAACATGGCGAAAACAATGATTCCTTATGTGTGCAGTCTCAATCCTGGTCTTCCAGTGAATGTACAACGATCTTTATTGCAAGCAGAAGCCGCACGGCGCAATGAGGAAATACCGGTCACTTCGGCAGAAGAAGAAATTTCTGCGAAGAAAACAATATAAAGAACGGCATTGAAGGAAGATTTTATCAAAAGAGAAAGGCGAGTCAGATACGGAATTTCTTTTGTCCATAACTTTAATCAAACCATACTTGATGTGTACGTTTATTTTCGTTTTCAACCTTATTACAGATACGTACTTAATAAAGATATACAGAGAATTCATAGGATTTGTTTCGTTGTTAAATCTAACATTGTACTATCTACAATGAGAAATCATCAGCATGGTAAGGATATATGTTACATTCGCAAGCACAGCTGCAACTTATGTGCGACCTTCAACCAGTTAAATACATTGAAATCGGCAATATATTGATCTTAAATTATTCACCATCGGATGAAATCGCTTCTTCAAACGAGCAACAATGACAAAGTTTTCGATGTTTCTAAATATTGATTTTAATCTTTTTGCATCACCTTGTTTAAAATAAAAGAACTGTTACAAAACACACCCACACAGATATACATATACTAATAATTGATCTCTGTATATATAAATATATATCGAAAAAAGAAATTCTCAACAAAGCGATCATGTTAATGAAATACTACTAACATCAGCTAAGTTCTTCATTAGCGGTAAAAATGATGAGCATGGTTGATACAGTTCTAATACATGTTGTCGACTGATAGCTAACCATCGATTATCAGGACTCATGGCGAAAGATCGAATGAAATTATCCTGATTTGGAAAAAGTGCTAGTCTTGTAACTTGTCCATTTGCCGAGATTAAACAATGGCCGATATTTACACAAGGAGTACACGTTTTGGCAAACCATTGTCCATTGTTATGTAAGTTCACTGGATACAAAATATTTTCATTGGTATCCATGTGAATACGATGGAGAAGTTGTTCGCTGTTTAAATTAACCAAATCGACCATTTGCTTCTTGCCGATTGAGATAGCAAGGGCAAGAATTTTGTTTGAATTTAATCGAATAATTGTCACTGACAGATTTTCAATATTGGAATACGGACGAGGTGGTTCGACGAGAGACACCTTTGAAAGAGAATAACGACGAAGGTCGCAGCCGAATGAACGATTTATTAATAAATCGTCGCCGTCAACAGCCATATAGGATTTTCGAGGTCCTTCAGCAATAAACTATCGAACCGAAAAAAAGAGATTTCTCGAACTGATTTTTCTTGATTAGAATCTTACTTGAATTTGATGAATAGGAATTGGTTGTAATTGCTTCGTACCAGTTTTATATAGTTGATCAGCAGTCAGAAGAAGAAAAGCATTGAGTGTTGCCGACCAAGCGATCTCTTGAACATCTGCGCAGTTTAGTGGTAGAAGACATGTTTCAATATCCATGGTTTCTATATGAATCAATCGAAGTTGTCGGCCATCAAGTAGAAGAACGTGTGTTCGTGAAACATCAAGAATTAGACAAGATGTATCTATTTTAAATCGTTTGATCAAATAATGGTCATGTTCATCTAGTGTTTTTTCCAAACATAACGCCGTAAATGGAATTGGTAACGAAGATAACGACAGACATGTCTAAAGAATAATTATTGAATGAGCGAGACATAAGAATGTCGTTTACTTTCTTAGTTGAAATCGATAATTTCGATGATGATAATGATTTGTTGCCAATTGGTGTTTGCTGATCGGCGATTTGTGCACGATGAATAGAAATCTTACTTTTTAATACAATCGAACTTCCACTTGCAGTGATTTTCTTCACTGGTGATTCACGAGGAGATGATGTATGTGAATGTTTACAACCCATTGAATTTCAACGTATTCTTGTCGAAAAACGATAATTCGAATAGACAGTCCAAGTCAGAACTGATAGTAATCTCGAAGATGAACAGAATAAGAAAATCGATTCGATACTGTATGTGTATATATAGAACTGTATGTAAACCCTGGATATAACTGTGAATCACAGTGGATAACGGGTACAATTCAAACATTTATTTTCCTATAACATTGAAAGTTTTCCATACTGAATTTCTAGAGATAGTTACATAGTGTAGTAGTTTTCGATGAAAAAGAAAAAAACAGAACTTAAATTAGTACGACGAAGGGAAACCCATCTAAGTATCTGATACATAAGACTACAGAAAGAAGAATACACAGGCACGCACGGATGCACACGGATTAGATTCTAACGCATCTGTTTCTTTTTCTCTGCTTCTTTTCGCGCTTGTTCTTTGAGTTCGAGTTCTTCGAAGTCCGATTTTAACCAATCGAGCATATCCGAAAAAAGCACCACGCCATTCGATGAAGGATCAGACACAGCTGGTAATGGCCGTTGACTGCTGAGCATTTCACTATCGTCTTCTTCTTCTTCTTCTTCTTCAAGTTTAATCTCCGCTTCATCCGGAAACATGTCATCGTCATACTCGAGACAGTTCGATGCATATTGTTGTTGATGAATTTTATAGTGATTCTTCATTCGATAAGCGGACGGAATATACTGTTTGCAAATCGAGCAAACGCGTCGTTTCAGTTCTTTACGTACACTGGCACAGCAATAATCGAATGGGATGATATCGTTTTGAGCACTTTGCATCACGACACCATGAAATTGAATACGTTGAATCAATGAGCCATAGAAGACACCTTTTTGATAATCTCGATCAGCCATAGCTATACCGCGTGGTGTTCGCTCGAATGGAACTGGCGCGGGCAGAAAACGATGTGGAAATACTTGAATGTAGTTTGTTCGCCATGGACCACAACATGCGATGGAGTTACAACGAACGATTTGAATTGTGTACTGAGTTTGAAGAACATGTGTCGCGCACCAATACCTAACAGATCGAATGATTTCATTGCAATCAATCGAAAGACGGTAGTTGTCTTACTCATCAATGTCATATTTCGGACCATCCCGTGACAATTCACCATTGGATGCTATATGTGACGATCGAGCTCTTTCCTGATAGTATTCATCGCTTTGATGCACTCGACGTTCAATGGGCTCTTCGGATTCTTCCTCATAGCAAACACTAAAAACAAACAACAACTATCATTTTAACAGAGATTTCTACTATAAAAAGTCTCACCGGTCTAAAATATGATTCATCACTAGATTCACGTCAATCGATCGTAATTCATCTTGAGTGGATGCCGGCGGATCTATATATTCAGCAACAACGGGATATTCATCGATAATGGATCCCCGCCAAACTTCTGCAAGAACTTCGCCAGCTTTTTTGAAATTTATTCGTTCTAGGTCGGGATTGACAGTGACACCTGAATCGTTTAAATGTGTACCGAAATGATCGTGAGGCAGAATAAGACCAGCTAAATCATGCGAAAGTGGTGCCATACGTCGTTCGACAACGTTATACGCCGATTGACCTGGTGCATGTGTCAGCACGAATAGTGCATCAAGGTTATATTTACGAAATTTTCGTATCGAAGCAACGAGTGTTTTAGGGAAACGTGGATTTTCATCAGGACCACCGTCGACAGTTATAATAACTAGTGGCTTCACTTGTCCGGTATAATCACGTGCTGCTTTTTCAAATTCTTTCAGTCCGACGAGACGATCGAAATCACATGCATGACTATTGGCATCACTTCGGTCATGTTTGGCGGAACGAACTGCAATATAAGTTGGACCAGAGTAGCCAACATCATTATTTTCCGTCATCATGCAAGCGGCATAAACACTAAACAAAGACACGAAGAACTAAACCGTTATCTTCGTCATCAATGGTAGTTCTACCTAGGAGTTAACTGATGACGAGGAGCAACAGTCCAGTCGTGATCAGGCAAACGAACACGGTAATCCAAATGCATTAACATGGGAGCTTGTATTTTCGCGGCGGGCAAACCGATTGGTACTTTACATTTGTCATCTTGTGATAAGAAGAATACGACATCATTACCAAATATACCAGCTAAATCTTTGATATATCGAATGGTTGCTGTGGCAAAATGTCCATCTGAAATGAAAAGAAAATGCGATGATATTCGTTCAAGTTTGTGTTCAAACCTTCATGTTTGCTGTGTTCGTCATTTTGAGCTTTACGAAGGCGTACCGGGACGGTTCGGACATGTTTTTTACCATCAATGGAATTTGAACGATGCGGCAGTAATCTTAGAAGAAAAGAAACTTCGACACTTATGCGATAGAGTAGGACTTTTTCTTACCGATAGTAAAGTGTCGATCGTTTGATGTCATAGCCACGTTCTTTGATTTTCTCTCGTAGATCGTCTAATGTTAAACACGGCCGAATGGTCTGCGAACGTCGGTTGTCGTCTGCAGCTCCACCAACCTTTGCAATCTCCTCGATAATCTGTAGTAAATCTGGACATTCTTCTTCAATTGGTGGTCGACCAATGATGGGCCGATAAATCTTGTTCAATTCAGCTGCAAGTTCAGGGTTTTTCTCACATAATGCTTCGATTTTACGCTAGAAAAAATAACGTACGTGAACCGGAATACTTGCACAGCGCACGTTCTGTTACCTTTTTAATTTCACGGGCACGCTTTTTAGCTGTCTGTTCAGCTTTCAAACGTTTCAAGTCATTTGTCTTTTTCTTCTGTTCAACTAACAGTTTCTTCAATTGTTTTTCTTGTTCACTTGTAGCCATACCCATATTTTTCACTTGGACTAGTTGAATAATACGCTCATTTATTTCATGAATTTCTTTCGAGACTTTTTCTTGAGCTGGTGCGCGTGTTTTTTTCGCGAGAATTTCAGCAGCTGTACGAATCTTTTCCGGTTTCTTTTTTGTTTGACTGTCTACTGGTTGATCTGCTGAGATTGCTTGATCTGAGGTTTGCTCTTCAGTTCCGTTGATGATTTCATTTTCGATATCAGATGATCGTGCTCGCTTCTGACGTTTTTTCGTCGGACGACCATTACTTTCTTGCTCACCATTGGTTTCAGCTTTCTTTTTTCGTCCGCGAGTTTTCTTCGGTGGACCGGTTTCCGAACGAGTCAAGCCACAAGCACTACTAGAGTTAAATTTTGCGAGATACTCTTCAATTTTTTCTTTCACGAGTACTTCATTTGTTTTGATTTCGTTCCATTCAGTTTGAGCAGCTGTGTGGGATAACTGAAAGATAGTGAGTGTATATAGAGTCATGTGTGAGCAAGAAAAGGATTTAAAACATACGCATCGTGACATTTCAGAATGGCCTTTCATGTAAGCATCAACGAACTCGCGATACAAACAGTACCGAGGAGTTTTATGGGACGGCATTTGACGAGACTAGTGAGTTAATTTAAAGTGTAGGTATGAACGTAAGATTTTTTTATGTATGTTTAAGTATTGGTAAAAGTAAGAATGAAGGAGAAAATAGATATACTCAGAGAAGAAAAAGAAAAAGGACGTCGCAAACCGTTCGTGACCGCTCAATGACCTCCTCCCTTCATCATTTAATGCACGTCCTATTACTAACCGCTATTTTCAACCAACCAAATATAAACGGACGGCCTATATAACACGCTCGTGTTCTATTTTCTATGTAAGAGGGCAAAGAAAAGAGTAATTATCTATTGACCGACGTCCCGGGCAACCATGTATCAATTCATTCTTGTTTCACCCGTGACCATTCGTCCTTTTTGAATGAATTGATTCCGTCAAAAAACGATTCCATGTATTTGTACCATTTCTCCCGATTCCTATTGTGGACACAAAATTGATCCGAAAGTTCTTCGTCTCATTGTATCCAATGTAGATACTTTATATGTACAAAATATCGGCATTTCAAACAAATTTTTTGTTACACGAAATAATCCATGCATCACCGTTCTCATATTAACATTTTGTTAAAGCAAAGAACACTTATGAGTCGTACGAAAATAGTTGTTATAACGACCTCCTTCCCCATTATAAAAAAACTTTCGAAATTTCACACGAGTGTTCGAGTTCTCCAAGAACATTATATCGTTTATTGATCTAAATCGTGATCGTATTGACATTTGTAATTCAATTATACAATTAGATTTCTTATCTATTTGAGAATACATCCGAAATGATCGATTCATCTGAAATGATGTTAGAGGAAAAGAACGTTCAATAGTCAGACTAATATTGTTACTCAATTAATGGTTCGTGATGATGTTTAGAAGCGAATCCTATTTTCGGAGAGAATCAATAGAGCATATGCGTAAATCTCTTTACGAATGTGCACTACCAACAAAAGTGGATACATTTATTCATTTCTCAATGGAAGAAAATTAGTAATGAAAAATTTCATGTTGGCTTTAGACACAGTTTCTCACATTGCTTTTGCCTAAAAAACCGATTCGTTGATCCGCCACAGCCTGAATACGTAAATGGCACACATTGCCGATGATTAGCATCGTAAGTAAAACGTTTTATCGATCGTTTACATGAACCCTTCACAGCCATCGGTGTGTGACATTCGAATTTATCTATGAGAACAAAAGACAAACTGATTCTATGATGGATATTCATCTAGTCAACAAGTTGCATACACGGTCGTGATGGTTTTGGCAGAAGACATGTTTGTTTTGTTGCACACTGAGGAAATATACGAAATGTTTCATTTGCCGTTCGACATAAACGTGTAAAATTATTTGAGGGTAAGATTTTCGGCATACATTGATCCAATGTGAATGTTTCCTTCAAATGAGCCGGAACACACACGTGCCACAAGGCTGCGAGGCCATCAATTCCTTCATACGATATGCAGACACCACCTATGATCGGACAACATCCACACGGACCGACAATTTGAGCATTTCGTTGACATTGAGTATTATCAATGAATCGAATCGAAAACAAGATGCATAGTACACCGAGTAATGTTTGCATGTTTACAACACAAAAATACACATCTATCTCGATGATTTATTATTGAATCTCTCTACGTGATAAGATAAAAAAAGAAAGAATCTATTTCATTTAAATGGCAAATGATTTGTTTGCGAGTTCACTTCGATATGTGAAGAATAACAACGTCATAGAATAAGTACATCAGCCTTCGGATCAAGTCAGTGCAACGATTACTTTAATAAGAAAGGAATGTAAACAAACATATTCCCAATCAATTTAGTCACAGACAATCTTGTTATGATTTGTATTCATCATCAATTTGTGAAGGACACTTTCTTGGGAAATCACAAAACTTGTTTCTGTCCTCGCGCTTGCAGAATAATTTGATCACATGTTCGTGTTTTCCTCAAAATACATTATATTTTTCTTTTTGTTCTTCATCAATATGGAAACAAAAAGTGAAAAATAAAATCAAACACTCACGCATAAAACGTTTACAAACAAAAGAAGAAGAAGAAGAGAGAGAGAAACGTTTTGACATCATCAGTGTATGAAATCGAAATAGACAGTCAAAACAAGAGAGAGAGAGAATACATGGAAACTGAGAAAACCACAATTGTCGTAGCTAATACTAAAACTTGTTTCTATTAGATTCGCGTATCCATAGATATACGTCCACTGTTATCATTTCGAGTATCTTACAGGACAATTTTGGCTAGTTCGTTAATCAAGAAAAAACAAAGAAATATATCACAGTAGAAAAAAGACACATGTAGAGAGCAGATCTTCTTGGATACTCAACGTGACTAGCATCTCTTGCATAGACAGATGAAATCTCTTAACCTATACCAAAGAACAGATGATGTGTGCGTGTGATTTTTCCTGAGAGGAAATTCTCTACGTAATTAATGCTACACAAATATACCACCATCGGTATCTTGTGCACGTTTGAAAGCATCCCATAATGCGACCATAATTTCTCCCATAACAACATCGTTTGTATTCATTGCAATAAGACGTAGAACAAGTACACCGTCGTGTCGGAGATACTTGTTCGAAAAGGTATTGAATAGTTTGCGATCGAATGTTTCACGTGTTATCCGATTCATGATTTTCAGGTACTTTTTGAGGAAATGTTCACGATTGAACGGTAGGATTTGTTGCCATATACACATGACAAAACCGTATGAAGATAAAATAGAAACGATGACGAGCCAAAACCAAATGAATATGAAGATTTTCTCGTTAAATAAATTCACAGGAAGCACGCACTAAAAACCGAACAAAAAAAGCGCTAATGAATGAAAAGACTCGATCGTTTCCTATTCAATCACGTACTTGTATCGTGTGTTTATGTATATGGTCAGCCATTGTACGAATTTCGAAGTCACACATCGTTACGCGAGGAAATCGTGCTGAACGACAGCATTCACGACCTGATAACAGGTTCCTTAAGACTTCAATTCCATAACCATGATAATTCGAACCCATAAAGATCTATCGAAAGAGACAAAGCACGTCAAAATAAGACATTTTTCTCTTATCGACTGAGATGGCTTACGTTCAGTAGGAATAATTGTCCAATAACATTGGTAATGTACAAAACTTTGACGAATAAGTAGACAAAAGTGAGGTAGTTTCCTTGAGCACGGCCAATAATAAAAACTGGACAATACCGACGAAGTACACGTTTGAACTGGGAGAAGAATCCTGTGCCCATTTCACGTTGAATTTCTAGAGCACGATCAATATGTTTAGCTATATATCTGAGTGTTCGATCGCGAATATCGGGATTTAACTGTTCCATGCTATGCAACGTTTTAACTAGATTAGCTATATCAAAACCTGTCTTTGTGGCAAGTGCATGCCATAGTACGGAGGGAATGTAGAAGAGCACTGACATAAGTAATAGAATAAACGGGATCCATTGGTAATAAGCTAAAATGAAAGGAAAATATTTTCAATGAGACGAATCACTATGAAAACGAAAGAAAGACAAACCAATGTGTTTTGGACGTTCATCATGCCTGGCTGGCAATGTGCTCTCAAAGGGTACATAATATGTATTAGATATCCAACAGATATAATTGGCATATTCAACATGAGAACCTAAAAGAGAAAGTATACAAAAGTCATGTTTGTCACGTCGATCATGAAATAGAGACTCCGCTCGCATTCTAGGTCATTTCAGTGTAGTGAATTGTTTTGATCTTTGCTTTGACTAATTTCACTTCTTTGTCATATTTAACCTTTTCATTCGTTGTCGGATGCTTTGAATGCTTCCTCAAACTCAAGTGCAGTAGAAATGTCAGAAATTGTTAATCGTAGCAAATCAAACTTCAGCGCTAGTCAAAATCTAATCTTTATCCGATCGTCTGCACATTAACAACTGCTTCAATTCACAATTGATTAGTTTAGTCCAACAGCTTGTTCAGAGAGACATAGTGCGAAGAGAAAGCCGCAACTATTCTCTTCCTTTCATTGTTAAACTACGAGAGAAATGATAATCAATTATTCATCCGTCTTGCATGACGCCTTAAAGAGCTTTTATTCGTTAGAATGCGGAGATTTTTCTTTTATTTAAAAGAAACATACACAGGATACTTACCGGTAAATTGTGCAGGAGCAAAACAAGCAATAGGATCACCAACATATTGTTTGGTAGATACGACAACAGTAAATAACATTAGTAAAACGACAGAGAATCGTCGGGACAATCGATCGTATAAATCGTCATCGTTGTGAAACTTGAATTGGCGAACTTTGGCGATGGCATCGAGAAAACCCGCTACCATACTAATGACAAAGGAGAAAAAAAAACACAAATCGATTATTATAATATAACCGTAAACTCACTGATCCACATAGTCAGTGTATTGATGCACGTGCCCGAAAACCTCAGTCAGCATTATTAGATATAGGAAAATGTCTCCTTCGTCATTAGTGTGTTTGTCTCAGAATGATAGAGTAAAAAAATCATTTATTAGCATCGTTACTGAATAAATGATTCGAGAGTACTGCGCCAAATTTGTTCCTCTCAAAGCATATTCACATAATAGAGAGAAAGATGAAATTCGATAATGATCATTATTCTCATTCGATATGATTTGCCTTTATTACATTCTCTCTCTCTCTCTCTCTTGACTCTTCTTGTCTATCCTACTTCCAATCTCATGTGACTCATGACATCCAAGTGTGGTTCGTGCCTTTTCCACAATCAGTATGAAGACATACTGCGGGAGTGCTACATCAATAGCGATATCACAGCAAAAAAAACACACTTAATGTTTTTCTAACATGGATTCCTCCTGTGATCTGATTATGTATGTACATATTAGAAAACTGTTATCTGTAAGAAGATTAAAGCCATTAGCAAGTGTAAAAAGAGTCCATTAGTTGACTGAGTCAGCAAGAAGAGGAGCGAAGTACAATGATGAAGTTTTACCGTATTTGTTGCCGATGAGGATGATGATGATCAGCTAACATTGCGTTGGAAGATTAGGAGACTATTTCTACTGAACCATATTCTATCTCATAGCACTCATTAGAAATCGGCAAATGTGAGTGCGTGATGATTGCATTTTTTCTCCGTCGTCGTCTTTCTTCTCTTTCTTAAATTGGTTAACATTTCAGAAAAAATTTATCACGCTTTCTTTCCAAACATGCGAAAGAATCTGGTGAAAGGGAAAAAAACGATGACCACAATTTGGTTTTTTTTCTTACCTATGCAAGTATTCGACAATATCAAATATGCAAAACTACTTAAAAATCTCATACAAATTTTATTAATTCATATTGATAGCGAGGAAAAAGCGCCTCGAAACTAAAGCTAAATGTTCTACTAGAAATAAGTAAGCGAGTATGCACCTGTTGTTAGCCATTTCTTTCAAACCAAGATGACTGACAATCACTTCTGCGACATGTATTGTCGTACAAGAAAATCAGTGTCCTGACGGAAACATCAATCGATTTCTTCTTTTCTTTCTTTTTTTTTTGTATTAAAAGAACTAAGTAAGTTAATTTGACGAGGTAAACAGAAATGGGAACGGGCGCGACTTTCTAGCATTCACTTACCTTTGTGTCTAACTAAGTGAATAGTTCTATTTGCAGGCGAAATATATTCATCAATAGACGATCTTCTTACTGCTCTAACCTTGCTTGAAAAACAAAAAGAATAGCTAATTTTTGTTCTGTCTCTCTCTCTCTCTCTCACTCTCGCTTTCACTGTATGTCTCCGCCTAATTTTCCCGATCAATGATGATTTATCTCTTTTTTCTATGCATACGACATATACTATTGCTCATTTCCTACTTCGATCAAATCAATAACTTTTTTCATCAATCCATTGGTGAAGATCAGTTTCATTTCTCTTCTTCTTCTTCTGCTTCTTTTTTCTATAGAGTCAGCAAATTCTTAATTTCACACCTTTCGCTCGTTGCTTCTTGTGTCTATAGAATTTATTCACATCGAAACCAAGTGTAATTATCTTGTTCTTTTCAGCGACTCGCATTTATTTTATCCGTCAATAGAAAAAAGGCCGAGTCCTTTTCCTACATCCCATTGTCCCAGTGCTATCTTTCGATTTGTTTCTCAACGAAGGGCAAAAGAAACAATGAGCTTTCCTCTCCGTGCATAAAACACTAGAAAACTACACATGGACCAACTGCTATCATGGGAAATATTAGGCGATTAGTAGCAGTTGGACGCATGCTGTTCGATTATACCTAACATATGTGTAACATTTACTAAAACAAGCATCGGCTCCTGATGTGACATGAACTTTCAGCAGAGAGATCAATAAGTAGAAATTGATAGAATGTCTTGTACCTGTGGAAACGATAGAGCATGATGAATGGATGTGATGCGTTGAGTTAATAACTGTAGAACATGATTGACAATGCAATTCATCTATTTATTTGATATTTTCTTCCAAAATAAATAAATGAAAACAATTGAGTAAGAATCATCATGGTGTGAAAAGGAGAAGAGTGTGAATCTATCTTACACTAATAGCTTTTATCCGCCTATTTTCTCTCTGT